TAGACTTGAGAGACGTTGCAAACGCAATACGCGTTTTCCGCCTGATAACATCGGACTACCTCCCTTCTTCCCCAATTTGTAGCCGGCTTAGAGAGAAAAAAATCGGGCCGTCTCGTAAACAAAATCGATTCCGAAGGAAAAAATATCATGGAAAATGTCAAGAGCCTATGCTCGATTCATGCGGTCGCCGGATACGACGTTTGAACTTTTACTGGTTACGAGGGGGGGAGGGAATTAAGTCACACGAAGAATTCGTGGTATGTGAGCCAAGTAGTGGAAAGCGGGGCATGAGGACATTGGACATTGCACCGATGCAATTTCCATCCGAGCTGGGCGCCCTCGTGAGTGGGTTGGCTCTGCTGTCTCCGGATAGACCGCCGCGTAGGGGCTGTAAAAACAGCGTCTGCGCCTGCAGGTGTCCAGGGGCACTTGCGCGATTTTGACGATGGCGGGGTAGAAGATCGGAGCGTATTGATGGATGCTCCGAGCCTGGCAACAGGGGCATTTGGACCCAAGGTCAACGATCTCTTACCTTGTCAAGTATTCTTCAACTCTACGCCTCTGTCCTACATAACGTTTTCATATGGCTGGCGCATCATCGCCAAAAAAGCAGAAATTGAAAAACCCCGGATTATACCTTCGTTAGTCGGATGAGTTAATCTGAGAGAGCTTATTTACGCACAGCGCACAGTGGATCGAGTCAATTGCAAAGTTCGGACATGGGGTTTTGGCCTACACTGGGAAAAAAACACATCGGATCTAGAGTCCAGACTCTTAAAAACATGAACAAGAAAAAATACTCTTGATTCAATCGGATTTTTGCTTGAATCAAGAACCAAGCCTCTTAATTTGAGCGGATTTCCTTTTGATTTAAGCTTAAATCTGATTGAATCAAGAGTATTTTTTCTTGTCAATGTTTTCAAGAGTCTGGACTCTAGATCCAATGTGTTTTTTTTTCCAGTGAAAAACTGAAAATTTTGATGTTTATTTCGTTTTATTTTAAATTTTAAAGGAAGCATTCAGAAGATTATTTCACGAGGAAATCAATGGAGCCATTTTTAAAACCTTAAAGTTTTGTATAAACGGAGTTAAAGGCGTTTAAAATTTCCAAATTTTGTCCGAGCTCTCCTGTTGACTCGATCCCCTGTGCGGTGCGGCACACGTCCATTCATTATGCGAATATGAAGATAAATAATTAAGCTTTTTGTCTTATGCAAAGATTGTTTTCTTCTTTTTAAATTATTTGTATTCGCGAGGCAAGGCAACCGTGTTCAGGAATTTTTTCAGGCAGTTTTTAAAATTATGGCGCAGCAGATTTGTTGATGCCCTTAAATCATGTCGCTCAATGGACCACTAGACAAGGTACGAATTTACCTAAGCATTCTGGTACATAATTCTTAACCAAAATTTCACGGAGAACACGATTATCGCATGGAACATCACAGGTATGAACTCGTAACTAAGATGTTAATGTTTTTATTTTACATTGGCTACAGGAATTTGAATTGCTCGGTCGCAAGAAACTCAATATACGCGAGCCAAATCGCGCGCAGAACAACAGTTTTGGCGAACCTCTCATTCGAGCAATGTTCCCTCTCCTTCTTCTGTTTTTTAGAGTGTTGACAAAGAGCAACAGCTGAGCCAAAGCACCGAGATTGAGGTTGCCACATTTTTACACCGCAGAGACCGTTGCGGCAAAGTTTAGTGCGCGATTTAACTCACGTAGACCATTGTGTTTTCATGAGCGGGAGGTATGAATTCACGCGTCAAGAAACATTAGATATCTTGATTAGGAGTCGATTTCAGTAATTTTCCTCGCGCGAATCGTGTTCTACGTTAAATTTTGGTTAAAGAACACGTATCAGAGTGCTGAATTTCGTACCTTGTCTAGTGGTCCATTAGAAACGGATTTTAAGAGATTTGACGCTCGAAGGTGATGTGTATGGAACGGTCTGATGAAAATCCCTGGATTCCGAGGGCTTGTGTGTTCAGTGGTGGATCCAGAGAAAAGTTGAGAGGGGCGGGAGTCTAGAAGGATATCTGTTAGAACAGCGGCAACCTGAGGGCCTACCCCGAAAATTAAAGGAAAAATTTCTAGCATTCCTGAAATAAGAAACTATTTCGGTGATGTAAATCAATAAAATTTTACTTTTGAAGCCGTTCGTCAAAGATAAGTGCCTAAATCTCCTAGGCCGCTCCCAAGAAATATGAGGGATTTTGATAAGTATAAGTAAGTGCGTGGCATTTCTTTCATCTTAGATACTACAACTGAATCAAGAATCAACATTTCGGTAGGAACAGCTCAAAATCTCTACTGAGACGACTCAATTTGTCAAAATTTTTCGGAGAAAGTCCTCCGAACCCTCCTTCAGCATGAGGGAAATCCCTCGAACCCTCTATCCGCAGATCCTCCGAAGTGGGGTGTCATTTTGTGTCCGTCCAGGACCCCCCCCCTCCCTTGATGAGGTACCCTTTTATCCCTCCACGAAAAGTTCTTAGTTCCGCCATTGACTTCATCGAAACAAAAAATTGTAATTTTTTTTTATTTAGTACCTATGTGCATATTCAAATTGGTTGATATGTTTGTGTTACTTGTCTACTGAAGTGGGTATGGAGCTGTTCAAGTTTACTGAAGCCATTTTTTGGAGAGGTTTGTTTGTTTGTTCTCCTCCGTTACTCTTCCTCTCTTCCCCCATTTTCTCATCCTCTTAAAATTTATTCTGCCCGGGGGAGGGGGGGGGGCGACGACTAAATACATGGGCGGAACTTGGGGGGAAGGGGCCATCACTCCACAAAAACCTATTTGGCCCCTCCCTAGAAATGAAAGAAATTTTGCTGAACAGGCGGGCGGAATAGTTAACATCCTTGAATGTATGATTCGATCAATTTTTCGGTGAGGACAGCTAAAAATTGCTACCGAGACGACTCAACTTTTCAAAAACATCCTGGGGAAGCCCTCCTTACTCCTACCCCCCCCCCCCCCCCCCCNTCCTCTGAGCAAGGGACATCCCCAAACTTTTTGTTGGATATGGGAGAGTCACACACAGTCCTCGTTTGAATTCTCTAGGATAGACAGCTTTCTCAGTGCCCCCCACGACCCCCCTCCATCCCCCCCAACAAGTTTCTAGTGCTGCCCATGACTAGATACCTCCTTGTCCTGTTGGATTTACTATTAACTGGATTGCCTGGATTTTGCACTCAACTGATGCTAAGCACCATTATGTTTCTGCAAATTGTTTTCCTTAAAATGGACTGAGATTTAAATCTTCAGTAGCTTAGAGCAAAGGCTCACTGAGACGGTTCCTTTCTCAGTTAACAGTTCCTGAATAGTTAAACAGCTGTGTCTCTGTTAAACAATGATGAATGAATCATACAATTACTTGGGGAAAATAAGAAGAGTGCCACAGAGGAAAGATTTGAAAGACATTATTTAAAAACTTGAAATTTTAGCCATTCCAAGCAAGCTTTCCTATTGATGTAAGTGCTTCATGAAAAAATCTAACATTTACCTACAGCTCCCTATTTCAGCTCAATACTCACTTTTCAAGTGTCAACATTTTCTCATGGGCAACAACACTCATTTTAGCATACTGTTGGGCTAATCAGCAGCATGTTGAGCTGCTGTTTTCATTCCGTCAAAAAGAGTTCTCCAAATCGAGTGATTTATGCAATTATCAACTGTCATAGAGTAAATCTTTTGACTACCTATTCATGATGTATTAAATGAATTTTTTTAAACAATAGAGATGGAAAGTCTTAGATTTTTTGTAGACCATTAGCTTTTCTATTTAGAACGGGGGAAAAAACTTTGTGAACTCCTTTGTAATCTATGAATCTGCACTGCATATACTCCCAACAAGCATTTCAGTTCTAAAATTGTTTCCCATCTCACAGACACTCATTATCCAGCAATGGGAGCTATTGCCTCAAATATTTGAACCTTTCTTGCACTGATCAGAAGAAAATTGCTAGAAATAGCTTCCGAAGTCGTTCATTGGTTTTCAGTTTGCGCTCTTCGTATTTTCGACAGGAGAATATTTAAAGGAGTAGTTTCCAGCTGGGAAAAGTATGTTAAAAAAAAGTAGCCACAGCATTTCTTCTAAAACTAGGTACACCTAATGTTGTGACAACATATTTGCACACATTTTCCAGATGGGCGAAGTATCTTCGTCAGGGGCAGGGGTTCGGTGGGAATGGGATGGTTAGTTATCTATGACAGCTCTACAGCTCAATGTCTTGAATACATATGTAGTGGCTCCTGTATTCTCAACTGGATTTAGTTATCTCGTTGAGCCCTATTAGGGAAACGGTTGTTTGTCTGGTATATAACTGGGTTCTACTGCACTCCAGTGAGTAGGAAGAACTTATCCACATATGGAAAAATTGGATATCACAATGTTGTCCTGATCAACCGAGCATACATTTTCTTCCGACAGAATTTGAAAATTGAGAAAAAATACCTATGACATGCCGATATAGCAGTTCCAGTGGATTCCAAAATTCTGAATCTTAATGTAGAGACGAAATACCAAAATGTTCTTTATCCGTCAAACTATATTTAAGTTAGTCCCCGATCGTGTAGGTAAGCAGACGTTTTTACCGTGTTTGAGGCTCGAAAAGGCCTTAGGTTTAGATTTCTATCAGCATAGAGTAAGTGGCAATAAGCAATGGATGAATAGATTTTTCCAGTTTTCCTCCTTGGATACCATCCACGATTTAAAAGGCAAACCAGGAGAGTAAGTCTTCCATATTGTGTAGATTTAGAGAGGAGAAACCCTGTTATCAGTGCAGTTGAACTTGGATGTAAACAAACAGTAAAGACCACCTGCTGAATGATCAAACCAACAGAATACTCCTTCAAATAGAAAAGCAGGGATGAAGGAGGTCAAGAAGACTCGGAGAAATCAAGCAAAACGGAGTTTACAGCTCTTGGCATGCTGCAATCCCAAATTTGGGCTGAAAGAATGGTAGTCAAGGTGATTGACAAAATGTTCACTTACGTTCCGAGCAACTCCTTGAGAATATATTTGTCCTCGACTGACGGCATCTTGTCAGTTTTCTCGTCCTTTCCGTCCTTTTTCCTTTTGGAAGGATCTCTCCTCCCAAACAGAGGCATACTGATTAACACAACGAAACGCGAGTTGAAAGAAGTATCGTAACACAGGAAACTGCTATCAGCTGCTGGTCTCTCGCATGACCGTATCAATGAAAAGAAACACTACATCCTTATCACTTGACAGTATGACACTTGCGCGAACTTAGAAAAACAGCGAGATATGAATATGAAACGAATACTAGAAATTAGCACACTAAAAAACAAACGGCACGGTGAAATGATTCAATGTCTATGCCACTGACATTCCGAAATCCGAACGAAGAACGGTCCACGATCGGGCGACCTCGCGGAACGAAGTACTAACAGGTCCTACAAGATGGAGGTATTATCACGATCCTACAATCCGCTGTGCAAAAGCAGTCCGAAAGTAATTGGACTGTATTCAGGCTGGAGCTGGTAGTACTCCTCGTTGCAGCGCACTCTGGCGAGCAACTTTCGAATCTCATACTAGCGCTCCAAGTGCATCCGTGCGCCAACAAAAAGCGCCCGCAAGCACAAAGCTCAGATTATTTTCTCCTTTTACGCACGCGTATCGATTTTCCTCTACACAGAATTCTCAAGGCGCCACGTTAAGCCTTCTATTCTCTTCTAACTTCTACGCCACCGTGCGAGCGCGACATAATTACTAGGGGGATGGGCTGCATACTTTTTTCATGTAAGTCTTAGCACAAAATTTTGCAATTAAAGGTAAAAACGTATAAATGGGTGAGGCAACTTTTTTTTGAGTCGAGAAGAGATAAAATTGAACATATTTGAGAGCTCATGACATTACTAAACTGAGATTTCAAACAATAAGGCGGAGAAAGAAGCATGCTATGCAGGGATTGCAGGGTTATGACAGCCGGTAATTTTTTTCCCTCCTTAATTTAATTGTGCGGATTGGGCTCAAACTTTGGGCCTTCTCTACCATGGAACCCCCTCTGATTTACCTATTCTTGTCACTTCGTTTCTTTTTACTTTTTTTTTTTTTTTTTTTTTTTTTTTTTTTTTAAAAAAAATAAAAAAGGACTAATTTTCAAGTATCAATAGCTGAAAGGCTGCTACCTCCTGCTTTGGTTGTATAATAAGATTTTCTTTTCTTTATTCGCCAAATTTCGGTTCTTAGATTCCCCTTGCGATCCTTGGGGTCCCTAAGATAATCCCTGTAATTTGCATACTTAAAAATACATGGGTGTTAGGGAAGATTTCATCGAAAATTTCCTTGACATAGGCTCTGAGAGAGGGGGAAGGGGTGGTGGGATGAGGCCCAAAGTACTTTTTGCAAGGGGGTCCAGCAAGAGTCCCTTAAGCCACTCTCTTTATGGAAAAGCATCGTAGTAAGGGGATTGAAATTTCCCGATAAAACAAAAAAAAAATTAAGAAAGATGTTGGCCAATATTTCATAGGTACTACATTTACGAGTCCTGAATAATCATCTTAAAGCATGTGATTTGGTCCACTTGTCCCTTTAGAAATCTTGAGTCCATCACCTGCTTTTAAAAACTTTTTCATCAAGATCAGATCTTAATTTGAATTAAAACAGGTTTTCTTCTTATTTACCCTATCTGCTTAGAATCTAAGTTGCTAAGAACATGGCACCCTAGGTGATATTTCCCCTCTTCCATTTGTCTTTTTCATAAAATGGAGCAGCCCTACCCAAGTTATTGAGAGAATGACATGATAAAACTTTTTTAACGCGTCCACTCTATTAAAAATATGAGGCTGTTGGTAAAGGAATAGTAAAACAGTAAAAATAGGGTAAAAATTCTTATTGATCAAAGCACTGCCAGATTATATAAATGCTTACAATTGAACTAATTTTTCACAATACAGACAAAATAAATTTACAAGATTCAAGTCAGATCAAATTATGTGATACACATTGTAAAATATATTTATCCTATATGTACACTTTCGCACTTGACATTCATAAAAACTTAGAGTATTCTCTGAAATATTTCTGACCTTAAAATTAGCTTTATACAGTTATTTTACTTCTGGCAGTTTCTGCCTGAAAGTCTTTTCAGTATAAAAAAATTATTGTTCTTGCAAAACGAAAAGTACAACATTCAGGTAAAAAAGGAAAAAGAGTTTTGATTCACGAAGATATGAAGTAACAAAGCAAAAAAAATTTTCTGCATCTTGTACTGATAGATTGCATTATTTGAAGATGAAACATCTATCATTTTAAAAAAAAGAGACTGCTGGCTGGACCGACTGTGACTAGTTGGATTTAATCTATTTTTAGGAAAGAGATAAACCATTGCTTCTAAAATAAAATTTGAGAAATGCTGATAGAAAAGAAAATAAGTTTCTTGTAAAATAAACCTATGAATTGTTTGTATAGGAACAAGGGTTTCCCCAGCTATAGGCATTGAAGAATGCTCCTAAGGGCTGAGGAAAGCAGCAGAAATTTTCTGTTTTGGACAAATATTAGGTACTTTTTTTTAATTATCTAAAAGCTTTTACTATCAAAATTCAATTTAATAACCTGCGCATAGGCCCAATACTTTGACTAGCATGCTGATCAGGATAAAAATAACCATCATTATTTTGCTAAGAATCTAACATTGCGATGTTCGCCTGCGCTAAGGCAATTACAGCCGGGTATCGTTGTTGGGTGGCTCCACAGCCAAAAAGTGCAGGCAATAATTCAGTGTGACGTAATTTGACTAGCATCAGTGTATCATCATACAGATGGGCATGTCGAATATTATGTTACATCTTTTTAATGGAGAAAATACACAAAAAATGTTAAATACTTTATCTAGGAGTGCTCACTGAGATATGCTCCCTGTATTTTTTTCCAATTTTTTTCTGATATACGATATTGTACAAAAATATACCTAAAAGTGAGAAAATATACCGCCTTGACACATCATCAGGTGGCATACCCCATTTAAACACATGTATTTTAGCAGATTAGGTCATTTGGTCATAACTCCTTCAACATAGAAACAAGGATAGTTTCATGCTAAGTTCACTCGATAGTTTCCATTTAAACATTTAAGTCATTACATTTTAGACAACTACAAATTCTCCATTTCTGGATAAGAAATAAAGTGTGGTAACTGAGAACAACCTACTGTTATTTAAAAGCTGCCAACAGTATGATGACTGCTTTCAGAGGACCTCAAAAATGCTGGGGAATGAAGAGTGAAAATTTAGAGTTCATACAGCTTTTTCGTAAAGCATGAAATCACAGTATTTGGCAACTTCACTGAATTAAATCAGTTTTATATCGTTATAGAAACATTAAAATTAACTGGAAAAAGAAAATAGTACTTTGTGATTTATTCTAGAGCCCTCAGGATGGATAACATCCGTTTGACCTCATTTACATTTCATGTTCCAACGATAAATCTTTAATTACTTCAGACTACCATTTTAGATCACCTATAGTATCTCTGATTACTTAAATTTTGATAATGGCTTTAATTTGACATGCATATCAAACAGTGTGATACATAGAAGTAAAACCTGAAGATGTGCTTCAAAACCGATTATGTGAAAATGATTTTCACTTTTTTTATTTCTGGAAGTTCAAGCTGTAAAGACAGAACAGGGGGGATCATGGGGGAAGGGACTTGTCCTTCCAGATAACTTTGGTACTCCTTACTGTCATAATAAGTTTAAAGTTTAATTAAAAGATGCATATGAGCTGATACGATTGAGAAAGGCATATTGTTTCTTTTCTTTAAAAAAACTGATGCAGGAATCTAAATGGAAAAATACTAATCCTTTCTAAGAAGAGAGAGAGAGAGAGAGAGAGAGAGAGAGAGATGTGTTGAAAATTGCGTGACTCTCCCATAAATCTAATCAAGCAGGCATTTGCAAAGGTTGTACCCATGAAGACTATAGTGGAGAAAACCACGATGTATTCTCATTAGACCCAGGAAATCATCCACCAAGAACTTCCATGACCAATGACTTCAGAAGGTCATTTTTCTAACGATAGAAGACAAATACTTTTGCTTTGAATCAATGTAGTTAATTTATACTAATCCATGAGTACGAACAACCAAAATTTGATTCAGCTGGACAACTGAGCTGGACAACTCACTCAAGTACAAGATTTTAGCCACTAAGGGCACTTATCTAAAGCATTTAGTCTCTTCCTCTCTTTCTTTGGAATATATCTGTTGAAGATAGAATGATTTAATACTGAGAAATATCGCTAATTCCAGCGACAGGATCAGACAGAACACACGAAAGAAAAGTTACGCTCCTAACAGTTTGATACAAACTACAATCGTCGAAAAATTTCCCCCATTTTTACATGAGAAAAATTTACAGGGCATTGGATAAGATTCAATGTTTTTTACACTCGCAGGATTTCAAGCGCTTTATTATAGCAGATGGCTATCCAGTCTGGTTGGGTGGCACCCCATTGTATTTGGTTGATTTCGCCTTCTGCGGCAGTGTAGGCCAGTATTGGATCTTCAATAGCTCTTGGCATTTGCTGGATGTCCCATATTAATGCTTGATGGTCATCACCTAAAAGCATCAAGATTCACAGACAACATTTAAAATAATGGTTCAAGTTGAGCATTACATACTGTTAACATTGCACAAAATTTGACTCTGTTGCAATGGCGTCAGGTTGCAGCAAACAGTCGGTGTACTGGAATTTTGAGCACTCCATATTTTCATTGCTTTTCAACTCGAATTACGATTGTTCGTAGTCTAAATTGGATAAATTTTCCCAAATGAAGTCCATCCCGTATAGGTTCTTTATTTAGAAAGCTGTCTTTTACTTGCGCATATCTACTTATTAGAGCTGAGATATCCCTGCAGTTCTGAGTCTTATGTTGCCACTGTTATTTTTTAGTGTAAAAGAAATGTATTTTGCTCGATTTTCTGAATAGCAGTATGATTATGATTTAGAACGATGACTTTAGTATGCTTCGTTCATCTTTGAGGTAAAGATATCTCACAGGTAAACAGCATAATTTAAATAAAGTGGTTTTTTCATTGTATTTTACTGAAAATCAAGTCGGTGGCTCGTCTATTGAATTAATTCTAAAGTTCTAGTTAAAAGTGTAACCAAAGGGAAGAACTAGCATGGTGGCAACTGTGGTTTGAAGCATTTGCATTTTGCCTTTTTGGCATGTTCTTCTAGCCTACGGCAACAATAAGTACGCAAAAACATGTTGACAGTGAACATGTTAATGCAATAGTGTAACAAAAATTACAATTCATTATTCATTCACTTCACAGGGAATTTTCCCTTGTTGCATTTAAATGGTGCCATTTATTCTTGTTATGCTTCTTTCTTAAAACAAAAGGTTTACACCTCAACATTTATTTGGGACAGAATATGGTTCCCAGTCTCGTATAGGATTGAGAGTATATTAGTGTAAGCTGTGGAATATTAAAACGACAATTCTTACCTGCTGTGCAGATGTGGCATGAAGAGTGTGGTGCCCAGGCGATGCCATTCACACACGCTCGATGGTTGTTGAGTCTTGCAACTGGAGTGCATGGAACTCGAACGTCTAATATTATAACCTGGAACAATGAGGCATGGTTTGAAATCATTCCATCCAAATTGATAGTATGAGGGTGCATATTAAAAAAATGATTCTTCCAAAAGAAGAAAATCAGAACTAATAGGTACCATTATGTATCTCAGTGATTTTGGTTACTACAATCTATGACACAGAAGTCTTTTTTTGGTTCTCAGATTTCCATCAAAATTTAAACTTTAAATTAAGGTAAAATATACTGCAATTCTCTACTTGGAAATATGGACTTTCATTTCTCAGTAGTATGAGCTTAAAAACTTTGGATGCTGAGGGTTTCATAGGAGTTAAAGAAGATTCAAAACTACCAGTGACAGGGGCTCATCCATCATAACGCTTAACAAAAAAACAGGTAATTTTATGATCTCATTGGAGGACTTATGATGAAGATTTTTTTCTTTGGAGGAGGGGGAGGTGTTTTCGATGAAGTGCAAGATTACATGTTGACGGTGAGGCTGCAAAAACGTGAATCACGTTTTGCGATGCTCCAGACTTCTGGTCATAATTTATTTACTTAAAAGAAAATATTTGATATTGTTCCTTGAAGGCTCGTTTGATTATTCCTTTCTGTGTGAGGAAAAATCTATGAAAATTTAAAGAGATAATGTGAGATAACCATCCTCTTTCGATAAAATACGCATTTGGAACACCGCAAGTAAGGAATGTGTTTTTGCAGTTTCAACAATGATATTTTGGACACACTGAATTTTTAATTGCTGTCTCTCATGGCTTAAAGGAAATGTGGAAATATGATTTTTTTTTTTTGTTTCATTGTCCTGAATCAGTAAGTATAGAAATGCAAAGATGTTTGCTAAGTTTTAAAACTTGTGCCAGCTTAGGTGAAAAATAAAGGTTTATCATACCTCACAGGCATCCATTGCCACAGTTGCTAAATAATTAGGATCCTGTTTATTCCAGGCAAGCCTTAACAAAGGTGTGTGTTGAGGGTCTTCGTAGATGATTGTAGAATGTTCCAAATGCCTCAGGTCAAACATTCGAACGGAGCCATCTGCACCCACTGACGCAAACATGTCTCGTCCACCACCAGCTCGACTGAACGCAATATCGTAAACTTCTTTGTCGTGGGCGATCAACTGTGTCTTCACGTGACCAGCGACTGAGTTCACTCGACCAACAACCTATGAATAATTGAAATTCACCCAATTATTTCAAGAGAAGTTTTACTTTTTGATGCAGTTTTAAAATCTTTGAGTTTGTATCATTCCAGATCTCAATTGTAAATGTTTGGAAAGAGACAGATCTTAAGATCAGCTGATGAATGTTATTGTTTTGATAAACTTAAAACTACAGGCTGATTTTCTGGAAATTCTTGTTAGCTATTTTAAAGATTATCATTGATTTTCATTTATTATGTTTGTGACATATATTTAACTGATAACCATGCTAAGAAATCACTTGAACATTAATGATATATTCCTGTACTCACTGGGATCCACTTTCAAGGGCTTTTGGCATGCTCAGCATCTTTTTTAAGTTAAATACTACGGTGAAATACCATCATGAGCAAATTCTCCATAAAATACATAATGCTCTAGGGAGAAAGGGGGATTGAGGAGAGCTTTGTGCCATTTTGTTATTATGTGCTAAAGGAGAGAGACCTACCTCACGAAAGCGTTACAAGGGGGAGAAGGGGGTCAAAAAATTTGATATTTAGCATTAAATATTTTATGAATGGCCCCTATGGCTGAACAGACTTATGGCTTTCAGAGACAAATCAATGTCAAGTGTCTTAGATTGGTAGTCAGTGAGCCTATAGTTAAAAAAAATATATGTATTTTTATTTTAAATCGTTTTTAAAGCTACAACTTTGAATTGATTTTATGGAACATATAAATACCTGGGTTGTTTCAAGCCCCCAAATCGTGCATGTTGTGTCAATGCTGGATGTTCCAATTAAATTTGGATCAACTTCATTCCAATCAAACGATGTAAGGGGGGCACAAAAATCTGAATTCTTGTTCTGTAAAAGATATTGATGTATGAGTACAAATACTTTTTCCCGACACATTATACAATTGACTGGAATACAGAATTGAAGCAATAAATCTTGTATCTTTTTCTTCAAATCAGAATAACTAAGGTTGTTTCATTTAGCTCCTGACACTTTGAATCCTGAGGTTTTATTTACTTTTTGTTTGGACAGTCTTGAGGTTGCTGGACCTATTTTCTGCGGCAGTTTGAAACACTCAAAATTGAGCTGGCAAGCTAAACTTGTAAAATGATATTTAAAACTGTCCTTGTGCAAAAGATGCATTTTTGAAATTTCATTAATATTTTATCTTGTTTCCAAAATAAAAATGAAATACCATTTGAAAAAATGATAAAAATTGACAAATTTACATGCTGAAAACCAGTTTTGTTGTATTAATGGAAATCTGCAGCAAGCATGAGCAATATACTGCATGCAGAGGTACAACTCTTTAGGATGCCTACTTTGATACCTCACATTAACTCGGCAGACAATATCGATGACAAGGATCTCTCAGTTCTTCTCATAAAACTTCTATCGTTGACAGTGATCTTATAATTAAATACTATCAATAGAGACTGATAAATAATTCTTATTATGATGAAAAAAGTAAAAAGATTTACATTGTTGAGTACACATTCCAGTCTTGTCTCAGGTTCTCCTGCTCGCCAGACCCTTAAGTAGTCCCCACTTGTAGCTAATAGATCAGGAAATACACCTTTCTGCAATCAGACAAGATCAAAAACTCAAATTAAGATGAACAAGACTTACAATTAGAGGTGGGCACATTATGAAATGAATGTCTGGGAGATTCCTTCTCTTGAGTAAATGTGATAGAGTTAAGACAGAAGCAGGACAGCTTTTTATCAAAACCCAAATTAAGGACTGTTAAGAAATTATTGAAAGATTTCAAGTACTGACAAGGATGTAGAAAAAAACTTTCGAGCCCTTAAAGAATGGTTTTAAATACATATTTTCCTTCCAGTACCTTCTTTCTTGACTCCCTACACACACAAAAAAAGGGATGATGTATAGACATCACGAGTTAACATTTGAGAAGTCTCCGTAGTAAAAGAAACAAGTCAATCCTCCTAGACATTGTAGGAGAAATGATTCGATAATGCAAAATTTGTAGACTCCCTGGTACAAATAAGAAATTTCATATAGTTTGAGGTTATTCACTGACTTGAAAATTTGAAAGAAAATTGAATTATATTCAAACCCTTCCCAAGGTGTCACAAGAGGGGCACACTTTTCTAGATCTCAGCAATTTTCTGCAAGCATTGGGTTTTTGAAAAAAGGTCGACACACTGATTGAAATGTTGTTATGTTTTTACAGCATAGTCTGATTTTGAAAATCGGTCAACACAATGCACTCATTAAACTTATGTTACATTTTTTCCACGCTCCAAACAAAAAAGGTGAAATAAGTATCTCTTGCTGGAACAGCAAATAAGGAGTGAATGCGAGCGAACACTGTATGACTGCACTGGAGACACAAATATGATTTCTCACTGAATAATTACTTTTCTTGGGTTTCTATCACATGCTTCATTAAGTATAAAGACAATCTTAAGTACAAATCTTATTGTGGACACATAATGTGAGTCAGTAATTTGACATTCACATTTTATCATTATTTGTCAAAGACGTCAACTTACACTGTCCGGTATCCACATAATTTTAGTGGTGGGGTAAGGATGATCGAAGGTTGATTTCGGACTAAATTCTGATGAGTCCTCGTCGAGTGATACAATTTGCACTTTGTTATTGTATTCTTCTACAAAGCTGCCAAGAGCAAGCCTGGAAAGAAAAAAAATTTTAACATTTTCAAACAAATTTTGAGGACTAGAAAATCCCATGAAGACGAAGATCAGATCGTAATAGAAATTAACATTAACATTCAGTGGCACAGGGAGAGCCCACTAAAACAGCATGGAATGCATCTACTGCAATGTGAATGACCACTTGAAAGGATAAGAATCCTGACTACTTGAATGGAATATTTGAGATGTTGAACAAATTTTCAAATATTTGTTTGTCTGTGGTCATGCATATCCTGTATACTTCTTGGGGAACAGCATTCAATTACATGCATGTATTAATTAATTATCTATTAAAGGTGAGGTGATCACAAACAGACCAGGAATTATGTTTTAAAATAAAGGCCTCAAATATAGGTGAGGTTTTACAGGGAAAAAACTGGAGCAACAGTACCTGAATCGTTTGTCCGGCCGTACAGACCAATTCATGCTGTAGAGGGGCCATGGGGCTTCGTATTTGTAAATTTCCTTCCTTTTAGGTGTGGCTCCGTGGACAGCCATAATTGAGTCCCTTCTTTAATCTTCAGTAGCTGAAACAACCATGCTTTTGAGAGTGTCATTCATTTTTGTGCATGAAGATAAAAGAGAACATGCATCACACTTCGGAAAATCTTGAAAATGTGTAAGTAAAGGAAAGAGGGGAGCAGATTAAATAAGAAAAGGTGAGATTATTCAAGGGAGCTGTTCACCATTAATTTACAATTCATAAAACAAGGCATTTGATTGATAAAAAAAAAATGGCAACACAGCCTCTACTGTATTAGACACTGGTGTATGAACAAGAGTGGCAATAGAATTTTCCGCTTGCATGAATGCTGCATCTTATCCTGTTAGAGCATCATCACAAAATGCCAGTTGGATATGATTCCCATTGAGAGGTGCATCGTATCTTAGTTTTGTATCAAAGAGAATGTGTAACAGCTAAACCCTGATTTAATGCAAATTGAAATGCTCACTTCCCTTTCAAATAGTGCTTTTCCAAACCCAAGTCTGTAAGGCCTTGTTCACAGGAGCAAGGTTCGAAGAACTTCGGGTGAACTTTTGGTAACTCAGCTATAATTTGTTTCTTGATCCCAAGTTTATGGAACTAATTCACCCGAACTATTCTCATGTGGACAAGGCCTAAGAGTTGGTTGTAATAGGGTTTGTAGAGAAGCTCACTTCAAAGGGCTTTGTTTAACCATGGACCATAAGGGGTTATCTGCCATTCCAGGCGTAACCGCTCAACGACCACCTCAGAAGAGCAATTAGGAGACATAATAGTAACATGAATCATCGCATCTCACTATGGTGCAAATTGAAAAAAAAAAAACCATTTACAGTTGGTAGTCAACCATCATTGAAGAAGTACTGACTAGAGTCAAGAGTTTGTAAAAGTGCCTTTCCTTGATGCGCTTATGAATCCCATTTTCATAGCTCGTACCTAGAGATACGCAATTAAAATGGAGGTTTGGACGTAGCTAATGACTATTCATCTAAACACAACAGTATGGAGATTTGCCCTGTGAAGGAAGTATGCGCTGAATGCTTAGCTTCACACTTCAGGGTTACAAATGATGAGTTACATTGAGTACATGCCTGATAGCTGTCATACAAAGTTTGCGCAGTTCTACACTGACTGCATTTCCTACATGGAGTGAAGCTTGAGAGTGATCAATGTAAAATAAGTTATTACTTGACCCGGTGGCATTGTCACCTCCAATGAGGGGTACGAGATTGTACTTGGGTGTTATACAATCTTAATTGGTTTCAGCATGAGATTAATTTAGTTGGTGAATATTGTACGACGTTTTCTGGGGACATTTGGCGACAGTTTTTCTTGATGATTCTCTGAAAGTAAAATATAAATAATTGTAAAGTAGCTAACCTATCTCCTTGGACTCGGCTCAACACAGCAAAATCGAAGACATTCCAGCGGTGTTACGAAGTTCCATGAATACTTGCATGCGTGAAAAATGAGACTTAAAATTTTTGAGGTGTTACAATTTCATTTTAGAATAAATTGGTCCCAAAATTTAGGAAAAACAATAGGAAAACTTTAGGAAGAACGACCACAGAAGCTGCAGACAGGGACCAGTTCTATAGGACCCTGGACTCCCGTAAGAGTCAGTGTAAAAATTCGTGAGCAGGTACTAGTGCTGCATTCTCGCGTAGGATCCTCGCAACTCACTGCTGTTATCAGTTGTTGGACTTCATTAAAATCCGTAGGATCGCGTATAACTGCAAAAAATCGAATTTTTCAGCCTATTAATTCTAGTGGCGGGCGCTTCCTTGCCGAAAGGGGTCGAAAAACGCCAAAAATATACTTATTTTTCAAGAATTCAGCCGCCTTATGTGTTATTTTTCAATCTCCAGCTTAACCTCACTTTTGGAGCGGGCGATGGATGAGTCGAGGTTCGGGGGGAAGGATCCTCTGAGTTGACTAGGATCCTACGCGAGAATGCGCTGCAATCACCCGCTCACAACAGAACGGCGTCCTATAGAACTCGTCCCTGCTGCAGAATGCACAATCAAATCAATCCAATAACATTGACGTATAATACAATCTAGACCGCGCATTACGAAATTCAAGCGAGACGATAGGCAACCCAGCAACACACAGCAAGTGTACCGGCGAGACAATGGTGGAATTCGTGGAAANCTTCTTCTTCATTTCCAAATTCCATCAGCAACGGACCGAACGGTCATCAAGATCGGGGACCTCTCGTGGCGTACGCGCGTGCGAATACTTTTACAGAAATAACACCATACAAAATAGAAGGATTTCCCAGACTTCTCACCAGTCCACTGCATCAACAAACACCGACACCGAATGTGCACCATCAGGGTTGCCGTGTTTACTATATATCTAGAAAAATAGAGCCAAACGTATTATGTACAAAGTTAGGTAACACTGTAAAGCCATCAACTTTACTCCAAAAGCTTCTCACCCCCAATCCATGATTTCCCAGCTCAGTCGCCCTCAAACCCTCATTATCTTGGGTACCATGTGCTTTTGCAGGGAATAGTCGAGACAGTGCGAAGAACAGTGAATTAGAGGACATTTGGAAGCAAACCTCCGGAATTTCCACATCTTTAGAATTAGGAGAAACAGAACAGCGTAAGATTTCCTTGAATTTTCTTTTCTATTTTTTTTTTAGATACCTAATCTCTCGTCTTTTTATTTTAGTTTTATCACGTAAGTTTGGATGATTCTATGGGTTTTAAGCTCTGCTCTTCGGGAAAATTCCAGGAAAGACAAACCTTTAAATTGTTAACTTTTTCCCTCCCTCTTAAACAAATTTATTTCAGCAAGTTCAGTTAGAACTGTATTGCATTGTAAAATTCTTCGCATCCAACTCAAAACCTTGTATTTATTCTAAGAAATACATACACAATCTTACTATTTTATCATCTTTTGTGCAGGTTTTGGACTTTTGCAGTATTCTCCTCGCACACTTCAGCAAATTTTCTGGTCTTAATTTATAATCAAATTTTACCGTCACAAATATGGAAAGCGATCCGGCACCTGAGGGAAATGATATCGCCAAAAGTCAAAGTGATGAAAAATCAGGTACAGACCTAATTATTTATCATCTCCACCTCTTGTGTTCAATATGAAACATTTAATGCTGACATCAGTGCTTGTAACTATAAGGTGATTCGTCACGGTTTCTGGTGAGGTCAAACTGGCGTGCGATATATCGCATCGATTATGTAAAAAATCTCAGCAGATTTTGAATTTTTAACTAAAAAAAAGAACCATAGCTCCTGCTCATGAGCTTACTGCATACCTAATTCCAAACCAAAAAATCAAAAAAATTCCAAGAAATGAAAGCAGGATTCGCACGTTTTGGAGAAAAACCTCGCCTCCGCCACATTTATCGATTTTTGTATCGAATGCGAGGTTTTTTTCCAAAATGGATCCTGCTTTCATTTCTCTGAATTTTGCCAATTTGCTATTTTAGAATGGTTCTTTACCTGGGCTCATGTGCCGGGGCTATTGATCTTTTTTTGGCTAAAAATTCAATATCTGCTGAGATTGTGGACTGCTGTCGAACTGAAAAACTTGACATTAACAATGAAAAAAGTGCCATTTAGCAATATTTCACTCATTGATGTAGACAGCAAAATTATCCTTTCATTCCAAATAGTCGTAGAAAATTACAAAGTTCAATTTTGGCTGGAAGGCCATGAATTTTCTTTCTAAAACAAGTCAAGTGTTTAAAAGATAAATACAGCTTTGGTATTGACTTGCATTGAAAATGGTCCATGGTGGCAGGAGATTGCAAAATATCTCTTTACTGTCCTGACTCTGCCCTGTATTGCAATCTGACTGATGCCAACCTTTTCTGTCACGTGGTCAAGAAGTTTTTTCACCCCTAGTTACCTAATTAAATTCACCCAATTTATCCATGTATATTTACTACTGCATACAGCCATTTACTGATTTCTTAATGTATTATCTATTTTTATTTTTTCCAGAGAGCATCTGTGATGAATTCATTTGGCAAGACTATATGGACGCAACGCAGACAGAGCCTGTTCTTCCCTTTCTTTTTGACCATGTAAGAAATTGTTTCAAACTTATGAAGTCAGTATCAACTGTAAAGTAAACCTACAGTGAAACTACACACATGCATATCTTGGTCTGTGATTTTAAAGACTTCATGTCATACTTCATTTTTTAAATGGAAAAATATTCAATGTCATTTTCTTGAATTCTTGTTTAATTTTTTTTTTCTCACTGCGAAGAATGTTCCATAAAAATTTCAAGCAATGTCGGTTTGTTCTTTTTTGATAAAATTAAATGGGAGTGGAGACTGAGACACTCCCCCCCAAAAATATGTTCCCTCAGTTTTATTGTCAAAATGTAATTGAGCTCCAGTTTTTGCAAATTAAGTTAATTTCAACTCTAGAATGCCAGATGAAGGTCCATGTGTGGAAAAAATTTTGTAACTCTACCCAGGGCCAGTCATGAGTTATGGAGTCAAAAAAATTGTGATTTACTTTGGAGTGAATTTGGCCACCTTCCTATTTTTCTGATATCTAGAATTAGCTAAAGTAAAGTTAGAAAAATCTGTATTCGTGTACTGGAATCAGTGTTCGAAACTCGCCTTTGAGTTTTAGGAGCCATGTGGCGCATCAAGCCCGATTTTTAGGCGCCATTGAGGATTTTTTAGGGGCCAAATTGACTTTTTGCCTACATATTACGGCGCATTTAGTGAAAAGTTAGACGCAAGATGTTTTTGTAACAGAACTAGTAAGTAGCTGTAACTTGCGGAAGACAGAAGCACTAAGAGTGAAATCGTAAAGAATAGAAAAAGCAAGCTTTCACTTGTAGTGCTGAAAATTCTGAGTTTTTTCAATTCAAACAGATTTGTTTTTCTTTCTTTATGTGACTTCCTGTGAAAATCCAGATTTTTAGGGGCTACGTTGGCGCAGAGCCTTGATTTTTTAGGCGCCATGACCGATTTTTTAGGCGCATTTGGCGCGTTGGTGCCTGTGAGTTTCGAACACTGACTGGAATCAATTACTCATATTTTACGTTTTAATTTTAAATTTCACTTGACTTGTTAATAGAAATGAAGGAATAGATTTATTCCCTTGATTCATTTTAATTTAATAATCAAGCTTGAAGGCAAAGATAGCGCTCCTAGCTCCGAAATTTGTTAAAACAGAAGTGTAAAAGGTTTCTTAGTATCACAATAACTTATTTTTGAGAAAATAGTGTTTGATTGCATGTTTTAAGTCTCCAGATGTACTCATCAATATAATAATGGATGGTCTTTTAATTTTGCAGGTAGAAAAAGGTTTACAGAGTTGCTTCAAAGAAGGCATGAAAATAGAAGTGCCTCACAAGGATAATGCAGAACTGCATTGGGTTGCTGACATCATATCAGTTTATGGCTCTTTATTAAGGTAATTTTCAAGGAGAGATTCATGAGGAAAGCATAGAAGTATTAGGATCAACGATCATTGAAGGCAAGGATCTAAGGGTCTTTCTTGCTCCAACTTTTTGAGATCCCTGGAGGTCCATCATGAAGACTAATGATTGCAAACAGTGGGAACGTCGTTATAAAATTAAATGAAGTTGCACTGCATTGTATTAAAATGGCTGGGAAAAAACCATTAAATTTTATTTTTCAGGGAACGTCAATGAGTAATAAAATGATGTTATGAAATTTTCATGAATTGTTTCCTGATTAATGGCAGTATTGGAGTCCAAGCCGAATAAGTCACGCACTTTTAGACAGCAATAGAAGATTGCATGATGTTATTTTAGTATTGAAAGTGAATACAACAAGCAAAATGGTGGATCTTCTGTTGTAGTCTTAAAGTGTGTGAACTTATTTGGCGAGGACTCTCCTTACATTGCAGAGAAGTGCTCAAAGTATTTTTATAACGGAGCAGAGTACGGATCGGTTGCAGGTCTCTAAATTTGCAATACAAAGAATATCTGGTCGGGTTTGGCACAAGCTGGGCCTAGGCTCTCCTCCTACGCCCTTGACTCGGGGTACGAGGATGGCTTCGGCAGATCGGTCCCGGGGGATGGGGGGACCGTCCCCCAAGTGGGGGGCCTGAGGGGCGTCAGGGACTGCCGTTCGAAGAGTGCCTTAGGGACATCCGACGGGAGGATAGAGCGCCCGATGGGCCACACTTGCACAGGATGTGGCCTGGAGGGGTTGTTTAGTGGGTACGGAACACGGCGGCGTGCTCCAACCCTACATAACCGGGTTTTTCCATCTCACAGCAGTCGGGTCGCTTAGGGGTCGCTTCAGCGGCTCTTCACCAGCTGATGGCTGTTGCTGTCCCGGTATTTGGTGGGCACCTTTCATGGGGGGCGTTTCAGCGACCCTCATGATGGGGGCACTGTAGAAAATTTTTCCCCTCATCCAAAAAAAAAAAAAAAAAAAGAATATCTGGTCAGTTGATCATGTAATATGCACCAACATTTGCCATGTCATTCAGTGGAGTTCAGTTAGGCCTTTTAGAGTCCATTTTTCTCTCTTTTTCAGAGCCCCTTAGCCTTTGAAAAATTGAAAAAATAAGATTTGACTTTTCCTGATTTTACTATGTTCTGTGATGTCATGATATTCAACTGAAACCCTCCCTTCCACTAATCTTTTGCCTACTTTTGTTATTACATATTAATTTCAACTCGCGATTTCCAAATCCGTTAACCAAAAGTTTTTCCCAGTAAGTTCTCTCTCAAAACATAGATCCTCTTCTTTCTAGTTAACTCTAACAACAACTTTTTTTCTCAAAAACATAACATTAAATGTTGGTTGGTTATTTGCTATGTTTCAGATTGCGCTACGTCGGTGTAAATGATGATCCAAGCAATATCTATTGGCTCGATCCAGCTATACACAAAGTTCACCGGCTGGGCTGGTGTAAAGATAACGGCAAACCGTTGATTCCGCCAAGAAGTGTTTCTGATGCAAGCATTGCAGAGAATCCTGAAGAGTATTTAAAGGGTGCTGAAACTCTCTCAGAAGAAATTACTGGTGTACGTGTCCTCACTTTGACTTATGTTTTGTCTGTAAAGAGGATTGTCATGAGGAGAAACATTATTTCTTGTTCTAATATCATTCTCTGACTAGTTTAGCTATAGATAGTATCAATTGATATACATCACTGGAAAGTGTAAAAGTGGCATCAGTTGGTAGAGCCCGTTTCAAATTTTCCTCTCTTACTGTAAGCGCAGGATAGGGAATCATGAACAACAAAAGTGGAAAAGTAATCTGAAACGGGCTCTAGTATGATGCTCCAGCTAGTATTTCTGAAAATGTGGTTTGAAGATTTATTTTCCTTGAAAGTTGTCGCACACCGCCTAAGGTGTGAAAGTTGGAAGTAAAAAGTCTGAGTGCTTACAAACGTTGCTTTATTCTTTTGTTAACAGATTCAAGCTAGTCATGTAGGTGTGGGGCAATTAAAAATAGCGCAATTTGCAAAAAAAAAACAAGTCTCAGCATTGTTTTTCCATCGTTCTTTCGTCAATCAGCAATGGACACTTTTGATATCACTAATTTATGAATAACATTTCAAATAAAATCCCAGGTGGAAGAAGCTGTGGCATGCACCATTGAAGTGAATGTCACCTATCATGATTTGAAAAGTGTTGATCTTTGAAACACATGGATCTTGTTGCTTTATTAGATTTTCCCGTCCCAATCACTTGCATGCAACAATTTATATCAAACTCAGTGGAATTTTATTAATTTTTATAGGATGGCTACACTCCAGTGGAGCGGCTGAAGCAAGGCATGAAAGTAGAAGTTCAGGATGAAAAAAATCCTCACTTTTTGTGGATCGCCACTGTAAGTGTACTATGATGTCAGCACATGAAGCGCTTTGCTGATCATCAACAATTTATTTTTAATTCTCATACTATGCTGATTGTTGTTGCTCGAACTAATGACTTTCAAATTTTTTATGTCGCTGATAAACCGATAGTCAGCTTGTTTTGAAGCAGGAAGTATTTGAAGTATTAAGTATAAGTCACGAAAAGCTGCAGACAACTTAATGAATTTTTGAGTACGAGTTCTTATTGATTTTAGTCAATCAATGATTCACGTTACAACAGATAGTTCTTGGTGATGTAGCAAAAAACTCACAAGTTGATTTATTAGATAAGTGTTTCTAATAGCCTAGAATTCCATTATTGTGATAAAATGTGATATTTTTGAGGAGAAGTATCTTCTGCAATTGTCATCTAAAGAATAATATTAATTTGATGCCTTGCAGATTATCGAGAATGTTGGTGGGCGGCTCCTGCTACGTTATGACTCTCCAGTCTCCAATTCTCCCAATTTTTGGCTGTATTACACATCGCCTAGATTATTTCCGATAGGGTTTTGTGAAAAACATGGTAAGTAATTCAAATTCTAACTTCAAGATTGTAAAATACTTTCAACTGCAAAAAGTGAGACAAATTAACTAAAAAAGAGAGGTCCTACAATATTTTTTAACCTCGGGATTTCAGTTTATTTCATATGTTCGTCTGTCATGTAACGTTGGAAGCCTCCGACTGAATGAGAAGCAACATGCTTTTCAACCAATTAAAAGTCTGGATTCTTTTTTGGATCAATAGTACAGAACAGAGAAAAAAAAAGAAGCAGGAAAAAAAAGATCGAAAAAATGATCCTGGAGGGAAATAAGAGGTAAAAGTTCTGCTGGTGTTTTTTTTCTGTATAATAATGAATTCTATTCATATGACACCGACTCACCAAGTTGCTCATTGCCTTGCCGTTGTTTCTTCAAACATTTAAAAGCCAAGAAAGTAAACGAGTGGCCAAAGAAGTAAACAAGTCTAATGGAATCTAATCTCGAAACATTATACATTGGTTAGCATAGCTGCTAAATGAGTTAATGTGCAATCAACATGCGGAACTTTTTTCTGAAGTAAAATTTACATCGAGTGACTGTACATTTGTCGCTGTAGAGCGCAGAGAACTTAGCACTCTTCTGCTTCCTTCTCAGAATGCCAAAAACAATAAATGTGTTTTTCTATCCCAATATCCTTAAAATTGTATTCATAATGTGTTGTTTCGTAAGTAAGAATACGCTCAAGGGTTAGATGTCATCATTTTCAGGCCATCCCCTGGAGTTTCGTAGACCTTCCTCGATCATTACAAGTGCTGATGTGGATGATAGCAAGTGGAATTCAATCTTAGAATCAAGTTTAGAAGAAGGAAGTAATTTTTCTATCCCCCCAGATCTTATTCAGGTAATTGTTTTTCTGTTTTGTCCATCTCATCTCATTCAAACTTGACCGCAGGTCATCCCTCTTTTTTTTTCCTCCTACATAAGTTTTAAATCATAAAACCACCGTAAATTATCCTAGTTAATGAACAAGACCACTCAATCTTTTCTTTTCAGTATGTCCATTTTATATCAACAAAGAGCCATAATTGTCAAGAAAGGAAAAAGGAAAAAGCTAACTACGCTTAAAATCTGTGGCATTCTATGATGTATGCTGAATTATTGTTGTGTACTATCTTAGACTGAATTGATGAGATGTTTAACATGATGATGGCTAACGAACAGTATCACCTAACCAACGATTTTGCAAGAAAAAACTTAGCCATTTTTTTGTAATTCCGAGGCAAGATTTGCAATTTTTGTTATACATTACAGTGTCATCACAGCACTCCCATGCGGAATTAGAATAAAACCTAAAAAGTTAGCTTTTGTATTTTGTAATGTAGAATGTGGCAAAGTTCCAAAATTGCCTAACGTGCCAAATTGTCAGATAGGCAATATTATTCCTAAGCCCTCGATGAGCATTTTTGACTTGAAATTTTCTTAAAAATGCTCATGGCAAAGTAATTTCAGTGTGCATAAAAAGCACTTTAGAACATTCTTATTGGCAGTTGAAGTCCCAAACCGTGCAATGTCACAGACTGCCTGTCGTACTTCATTTTTTTTCAGAGAAAACCTATTCAATGTCATACCATGAAAACTTCTATGAATTTTCTCTGTAAGCCAAATATTTTGCGAAAATTTTTGGAAATGATGTTGATTAGTTCTCTGCAAAAATGTCTCTAGTGAAGCAGGAATGAGCAAGATATGTGGTTCGAGAATTTCACTGTCGATTTATTGTCTAGGAAGTGTACGTCAGCGTCATTCTGAGCTGATTTCAGAGTTTCTTTCACATCTATGAGTTCCCACCAAGCAGTATTTTTGAAAAATGATTGGTAGGAAACATGTAAATGTCACTTTCGTTAACATGAACATTTTTTAAACTATGAGCAATTTGCGATGACAAACCTTTAAGAACATTGTTGTGAATGAAATGATATGATCTTGGCCCCTTTAAGTCCCATTTTTTTTTAATAATTTGAACACATCATCTCTCTTAGTTCTATGTTAAGACTTTGTATATGTTTGTATTGTATTCTTATTTTTTTGCAGATCCGTGTGGGAACAATTAAACATGATTTAACGGTAGGAATGAAATGTGAAGCACTCCATCCAAAAAATCGAATTGAAATCTGCCCAGCAACTGTGGTCAAAATTTTCGATGAGTTCTACTTCCTCGTAGTCATTGATGATCTCACCTTGGATGATGATGGTCTCCTTTCCTCAGACCTCTTTTGGTTGGGTTATATTGGGCACCCCTATATATTTCCGATAGGTAATGTATTTGACCTTGATTCCCCAGAAGTTTTTGTGTTTGTTGCCTGAAATTCTTATAACACGAATTTGTCAACAGAATTTTTATTTTGCTGGAACCAAAGAAAGAGAATTTGCCGGTGATTTAGAAATTGTTGGTGGGAAAAATTTTGATGCTGATTCTGTCAAGAGCCTCATTTTTCTTGGATAAGTTTGGATTTTTCCAAAACTAAATTCAAATATTTCCAAAAAAGCAGGCTTATGTATCAAAACGCATCATAGGCAAGTTGAGAGCTCCAAAAAACTTGCAAGCATGACATATGTCGCTCTGAGGTAGTGGTATAGTCCTCTCTTAGATGCAAGTATAAGGTGAGGCTCTAATATGCAATGATAGAGTGCCATTTCCACTCAGTAGAAATGATTCAAGAATGGCTTCTGTAAGTGCCCGTCCTTATGAACCGGCATGGCAGTAAATGTAGCTAATGAATCGCTGAAACAAAAATAGAAAAATGTAGCTTCAATCAGATATCCACCAATAAAATGAGATGTGGAAAATTCTCTTAGTACCTCCCGATTAATGTTGTTATAAAATTAATACGAAGTTTTATGGACTTAACAGGCTGGTCAAAGAAGGCGAATATAGAATTAGCAAATCCGAAAAAATGGATCTCAAAGTCAGGCAAATTCAACTGGTCTGAATATTTATCGGAAACAAATTCGGCAGAAGCTCCTATTAGCATTGAGCATGCATGTGCTCAGGAGCTAGGTTTTGAGATCAACCTCAAGTTGGAAGCAATGAATCCGGAGAACCCTAATCAGATTTGTGCAGCGACAGTAACAGCATTGAAGCAGCATCTTCTTCAGATTCGACTCGATTCACATGATGAGTGAGTAACTAAATTCCTCCCATTCATTATGTATTTTTGTAATCTTGCAGGTAAAATAACGCATATCTCAACACGGGAAAACTCCTTACACCAACAAAGGGGTGCAGAAAGTTCTTTTTACCCTAGGTTTACCCTAAGGTTGTGTTTCGATCACTCTCACTGATATAGTCCTGATCCTATCAAATAATATTCAACCTTCCTCCTTCTTAATTAAAATTCATTATTGCTTTCCTCAGATGACTTTTTAAAAACTTATAGTAAAAAAATCGGACTTTTTCATCGTTTTTTGCTGGGGGGGTAGCCTTGATTTTTACAATTTTCATGGGGGCTCCCTGGTTTTCATAGCCAGGTTTACCTTACTGTCTCTTAAAGACCAGTTGCGTGGACAGGAAATTTCTGTACCATTGAATATCTTGATGCTTTGAACCACTCAGTTGAGTAATAAAAGATGCTTTTTCTCTTATTTATTCCTCCAGATCGCAAGAAAACCATATCATCACTAGTTATAATAGCACTGATATTTTTCCTGTTGGATGGTGTGATACTAATTCATATCCGTTGAAGCCTCCCAGAGATTCTCAAGATGTATTGAAAAACTTTAAAATCAGGTAAAAATACCATCATTCCTATTTGATAGCTTTAGAGGTTGTTGTATTTTTTTTTTTAAATTTATTTTCAGAAATTACCTCGAAAATTGGGAGACACATGCTTGTCTTATTGTTTTTCATTCAATCAAATTTTAGCGGAGATTAACCCTCAAAATTGCTTAACATCGAATCCTATTTAAATGATTGACTGTTGCACCAGTAGTTTTTATTATGGCAGTTGTATTGACTGTTTCTTTTTTCAAATATGTCTGTGATGAGCCAAAAGGTGCTTACTTTAGAAGATCAGGAAGAATGTTGCGTATTGAGGCATTATATAGTCGAACAACACTTAATCTAATGTGGATCAAGATAGGTATTTCTAAACATTGAACTTTTAAAACAATGGATACACCCAGCCATTAAGTATATAAATATGAACTCTAAGCTCACTCACTTTTCACGAAAAGAACAAGTGTTTCGAATCTACACATTCTATCTTCAGCTCTATCATGACTCTTAGACTCTTACACTCACAATTTGTAGAGTTGTAATAAAGCTGAAGATGGATTGTGCAGCTCTGGAACAAGTGGCCTTTTTATAAAAATTACAGTAAGAGCTTAGAGTATATATTTACATAATTGACAACTGGGTGTATCCATTGACTTAATCTAATTTTTGTTCTATCTAATCTAATCCATCTAACCTAATTATTGTTCCTTTTCTATTTGTGCTTTCCTGTTTATGTATTTACAAAGGAGAAAACTATTTATTTTTGCTTTTAAGGTTTTTGTAATTTTTCAACTGAATTATGTCTAATTTATCAGTGAAGATTGATAGAAAACCAAATCAAATATGAGTATAATAAAATAATTCAAAGACATGAAATAAAAGAAAATAAACCAACCTATTTGCCGGGTTTAATTTTTTGGCCTGATCTGGCCAGGAATCAGATATGACGTTCTAGTTTGATTCACAACATGAAAATATGCATTTATACTTTTGAAAGAAACATTTCCACAATTTTTAAAATTATTTGGCTAAGCAATCAATTGGAATGCATTTTGCAATTTGGAACTACAAAGTCAGGCCCGGTTTAAAAACAACGTATGTGCCATTAGTTTCCCTATGCACATAAGTGTTTTTTCAGATGAGCTAGAATTTGTAGCTCCTAATTGCAAAATGCAGTCCAATTGACTGTTGCTGCTGCAATTATTTGATTTCCTACTAACTTATGTTGTGTCTCAGTTGCTCAAGACAAAGTAAAATCCAGTAATGTATCAACATGAAGTTTTTATTGTTTTTGATCAATGATTGAATTTTTTCGTTTTGTTGTACATAATTTTCTCTTCTACAGAAATTTAAAATAAATCTTTCAGTTTTTATCTGTAAAATTTAGCTACTTGATTTGAAATTAATATGCATTTCATTTGTTTTTCATATCTAGTTATGAGGAAGAATTAAAGGAAAGCACCTCATCCAACAGCAGCACTGTCAATGGGCCTGTCTCAAAAGCAGTTCCATCACTATCTGGCTCCTCATGGTGTCCAAAAATTTATTTCAACCATAAGTGCTTCACAGGTCCCTTTTTGAGCAAGACAGGGTTAGCGAAGCTTCCAAAAGCAGTTGGGCCAGGTCCTGTGACATTAGTTTTGAAAGAGATCCTGTCAATGTTGATTGGTATTGCATACCTTCCAAATCGTGTGCTCAAAGAACTTCAGTGTTTAGAAAAAACACCATCAACTCATGTAGAAGTGCTGAAAGCCAAGTAAGTGGACCAAACCTAGTCGTGTGCCTATGTTTAATATTTTGAGAATATTTCAGGATTGAAAAAATTTGGCGAAAAACTGGACTCAAAATAATATTTTCACTAATTTGTAAAGATCTTTCTCCAGATTTTTCAAACAAATAGAAATAAAACTAAATTATTAGAGGAGGAAATAAAAACTCAAATAAATTAAATTCTTAAGCGATCAATATTACAACAATCATTCCACCTTTTCGACGATTTTTCAAATAACTGAATGCCAATTTGAAATGGGATATGAGTGTCCCAATATGAGGGAGGAGGACCCCCCTATCCCCCCTCCAGAGAGTATAGAAGATTATACAACTACTCAATGCTGTGGACTCAATGCTAGGTAATTGAAACAGAAGCGCTCGCAGCGTGCTAGCTGGCAACGTACGCAACTACTATTTTCTATTATTTTCCAGTGACTAGCGGCAGGTATGTTGCTGCTGGACCACCTCTATGTAGGCAATTTCTTATATAGCATTCGTCTGTAACTCTCGCTTGGCCAATTAGCGCAGTGGTATAGGAATTCTGCTCGCCGCGCTTTCTCGCGCCAACGTACGCAACGTACACTTGCTCACAGCTCAACTTCTGTTTCAATTCTTCCCTATCGGGCCTCTCCCTCTCTGCCCCTCCCCCCTCAAATGGAGCTTAGCTGTAATGTGCCGATGGTTAGAAGTACCAAGCTCAAGTGTAACTAGGAGCTACGTACGGTCTTTGGGCCACATTGCAATGCTGTAAGAAACTTTGTCTTGTTTTGGCTGGACTTCGTATGAGCAGTCTGTGGCGAGTTGGTAAAATTTTTAAGATAGATGATTTTCACAGGCAATGCACGGCTATGTATGTCAATCCTTTGAGTAATTTTCGTAGGGAATATGCGTCATTAGAAGCTTAAGTCCCCCATCCTCGTATGTTGTTTTCGGTCTCAGGTGTGCGGCTAACAATAAAACGTTGTATTGGCTGGGCTTACGGTTAAATTGGTGTTTGGGCAGCAAGAAAATGATAAATTTGATGATAATGCATTTCAGGCCCAAATTTTCCATAGCAATGTTTTGAACATAGCTGTATGACAATCCAGTAAGTTCTCCAATTTAATCAAGTGTCCCTGGATGATCTTCATTACTGGAATGTCTTATATTTTCATTGGTTTGATTCATTAATGGCTGTTATGAATCAGACGGAAATTTCAAGTGATCCTCCGCCACTCTCGAAGCAAGGAAACCTTACCTAAGTTTTTGATAAAGCATTTTCTTCATAAGTAACATTTCAAAGGATGACAGCAGTAGCCCTGTTTTCACGGTAAAGGAAAAAAAAATTGAGCATAGAGTGTTACTCCTAAAAAATTATCCATCTCAAAAATTGATGCAGAGAAGTCTAACCATAACAAAATAAATTGTGCTACAATGTTGATATTCGGTTTAGCAACAGGTCGTCACTCCTCTTAGCATTAGAACTCCGCAATTTGAACCGTTACCAGATACAGCAAAACTCCGATTTGGAGTCCTCCTTGAGGACAGGTTCACTTCACAGTGATACACAGTGTATAAAATTGAGCACAAACCCAACATCAGACATTTTCAGAACAGCTTTAAAAAGGCTCATCTCATACAACGTGAGCTCATATTTTTCCCTCCTTTCTAAATATGCCGTGAGTGGCATTGAAAATACAAAGGGAATCATGTAAGTATATTGCTACTTAATAAGAGGTGTTGAAGCTTTCGATGCCATTGAAGTTCTGTCTAATATGTCTCCTCCGCCAGAGAGAGAATGAAAAGGGAGAGGAATTTGTGCCCCCCACATAAGTTTGTGCCTCTTGTGACAGGTCTGAGTGCCAAAACGGCTGTGGTTGTGTGCATGAAAAAATTAAATTTTCTGCTTGATTTTTACGATTTCCTGTTCTGTCGTTTTAGGTACAAAACAGCTTTATATCGGGCTGAAGTGGAGATTGTCACCTCATCAGATAAAGTTACCTCTTTCTGTGAAGATGTTTGCCATAGGTTACAGATCTGTCCCAACTTACTTTCCCTCGCCCCTTTGGATGGATCTCCTTGTCCTAAAAAGTGTCATCTAATGTCTAAAACAAATATTAGCACAGGTAATGATCATTTTAGTTACATGAATCTTCTTAAATGAATCCTCAAAATCTCTAGCTCAGTTATGAAAAAATAAATCCAGCGAGGAACTGGACCAAAAGAAAAATTTGACATTATTTTGCGCTTATAACTTATTACTTCCGTTAAACACACCAGGCAGACATCATGAGTGTCCAAACTAGACTCTGTGGACATAAAAATTATACATAATACTGAATTAAAAGCTTTGCGACTTGTCTTAGTCCTTGAGCGAACTTGATTTTTGCCTTTCAAGGAAAAAATATTTAGTCGCAGATTTTTTTAGACTATTTTTGATTAAGAGATCAGGGTCTAAAATCTGTTGCAATTGTCTTTTTCAAGTATCCTTAAAAGCAAATCTGGAAAGTTGATTGCTTGGAAATTTTCAATTCACGATCAGAAAAGAGCGGATATTTTTAGTAAATGCTGGAATATTTGCTTACATCCAATATTTACTTTTTTACAGTTGCTTTTTTACACAACAAAACGTGTGCATTAACAATTCAAAGTCCACTTTTGGATCCTTATATCAAGAAAAGAGAGGAGTCTTCTACTTTGCAGGTCCATAATATTTTCAGCGGTTAGAATATAATGATATTAATCCTATTAGGAAGCCTCGGAGGTACAGACTGGTGTAAATCATGATGGCTCTCCAGTAGTCTGAAGCTGTGCAATCATACAAACTTTAGCTAGCTTTTCCCTTATCCATCCTCTAGACGTCCTTGTGTTTAAAGATCTGAAGATTAATATTTCAAACGTCCTAAAAATCATTCAAGAGCATTCTGTTGCTCTCCTGGTTTCTTGCACTGTTAGGCACAACAGTACGCACGTAGGTTAAAAATTCCTCACAAAGATAGGGAAAGCTTATTTACTTATTTCTTGTTTTCACATGATGCATTTTAGACAAAGACATCGAGTCTTCGTAGACCGTGCATCTGGCTTGGTTTAATACAGGCAGAGCAAGACAAGTCTCTCGGAACCCCATGATGGGCGGGCAGGGAAGGGGAGAGAGCGTGTGTCCCATGCGCTTGAAGAGACTGCAGAGAGACAATGGAGAATTCATTCCTGTGCTCGGTTTTTCACAAATATCTCGTTTAGAGTGCATTTTCAGACAAAATTCCTAAGAAGAAAAGTTTTAGAACACATAATTTTACAACCAAAAAGCAATGTTTCATTTTTCTGAACTATTTATTAACGGAGAAAAAAAGCCTCACAATCCAACAAAAATTCACTGGAGCCACAACTGCGCTTGCGCAGATGTGCGCAATTGAAACACATGAACTCATTGATGCGGGTTGTTGCTAACACTTATCGGCATGCGAATGTTTAAAAGTTGTCTCACCGTCCATAACACAGGATGCACGGTCTACGTGATTCAATGTTTTTGATTTTAGACAATGTAATAGTGCACAATAATTTACACATATATCACATGTATGTTCTCCCTGGTCTGAAACCACACTTTCCCTCGAGACCATCATTGGATTCCCTGATTCATGACAACTGTAAATATTGTATTTGTTCACAGCTTCTGTAAATCCAAAGCAGACTAGGAAAACCGGCGAAATGCGGAAGATCGTAAAAATTGAAAAATCGAGAAATGAGTATGTTCCTGAAGTTCTCACTCGTAGAAGTTTAAAGAAAACCAGATCAAGATTAAATCGTAAGTACACAAAGCAATGAGAAATTTCATGCACTTGAAAGTTTTCCCCCTTTAAAATGAGCAACCGTTTTTCTATCATCCTTGATTTTTGATTCATCTTGTTTCCAGAGACTCTACACCTTTTATGATATTTTTATTTTTTGTATGTCAAAAGTGCTTTGATTGATCCTTCATTGTGACCTGAGCTTCATTTCAGGGAGGAAGAACAGTCAGAATGAACTTATAGAATTTTCAGAAATTATATTCAGACTTGAATCATCTGCATTTGATGATACATGTATTTGTCGTAGGCGAAGAACAAAAATCGAGCAAATTAAACTTTCTTAAGTCAAATAATTGCGCCTTGTCCAGCACTCTTTCGATAAAACCCGCAAAAAGTATGCAGGCAAAAAAAAATGCCGATCTATGCAGACTAATTGCAAAGTGGTTGCACATTTTGCGTTCTGGCACTACAATCTTTGAACAGACTCATAAGGTTTTTTTTTGTTTTTTTTTTAAGAGTTTTATTTATTGTAACTTCCAATTAGAGGAAACATAAACAATTATCATAAGTTAGGAATAATGTATGGTAAAGCAACGACTGCTTAATTGCTTATTATCATAAAATTAAAGAAACTAAACCTAAAACTTAATTAAGATTAAAAGGACATTCATAAAAATCAATTGGGTGAGATGAGTGAAGATCTGATGTAGTGAGAAGATTGTCTTTAAAGATGAGAAATAAGTTATGCAAGTTGTTTAAAAATCGGAATCAGCGTTAGTGACAAGCTTCCAAGGCTTTTTCCTCTTAAGTCTCCTAATTTCTTTAATATTATTTTAAAGTTCAATAGCTGTTTTGTTCAGATGACGATGTAGCCTGTCTTCGTATCTTTGCAAAATTTTTTGAATATATACTCATAAGTAAAGAACAAAATTAGAGAAAAACCGGGCACACTTATTTTTTACCATTTCGTGGGGAAAACGAAGCTGAGAAGTTCCAAAAATAATAATTAGAGTCAAAAATAAGTTTTTTTAACCCTAATGAATGCCAGTACAAAACTGAAAACATAAAAAAATTTATTTTTGACTCTAACTATAATTTTTGGAACTTCTCAGCTTCGTTTTCCCTGCGAAATGGTGTGGACCCAGCACCATTTCTCCACCTTATTACACACAGTATTCGGGCCACTTCTTAGTATTTTTTTCTCACTTATTTCTTACTTTCAATGATATCACCAATGGAAGTGGCCCAGGCTACTGATCAAGGGCAGATAGGAACACTAGGGAAAACTCCGGATGGCCGGAGGATATTTAAGGTGCATTTGGGCTGGTTTACTCTGTTTATACAACACAAAATCTATCCAAATCTATCTATTTCTATAATTTGTGTATGATGGTGTTTTTCAACAATTTTCAGAGCTGGAAAACTCAAAAGAATCAATGGAAGAAAACGTAGCACCTGCCAAAAAAACAAGATACGAAACACGTGGAGTGAAACTACCAAGTTTCGCTGTCAGAAACAAGCCAAGGCAGAAATGTGAGGATGAGCTAATGGTTGTTGGCACTCCTAGTCAAAATAAACTTCCATTACCCATGTAAGTTGTGTAGTTCTTCGGCTTTTTCAATTACTTTTTTTTTACCTTCCATGCTGCTGTGCTAAGGAAGAACGCCATATGAACATTGAAGAGTTGCCAAATTTCCATTTGATAAAACATGTATTTTTGACGCAATTCAAGCATATTTTCCCTTGAAATTTTCAGATGTTTTAGATCAAATCGCTTACATAGTTGTCTGAAAATTTCGGAAAATAACATTCAGAATATTCCAAAGAATCCAAGAATTTCAAAGAATTTTCCTAGTAAACTCGGTTTTTATCGGAGGACATTTGGCAACGTCTGAAGGCTCATACGACGTTTTCCCTTAGCAGGGCAGTATGGCAATCCACTCCTTTTGCCAACATACAGTAATTACAAAAAAAAAATATATTGAAAGTTTAAAAGGTATTCAAGTCCCTCAAAAAGCTTTTATTTTTTTAAAATGTTTTTGTTAAAAACATGAAATTCCCCTAAAATCAAGGCATGAAAAGGAAGTTACATGAAGGAGTTAGACCCCAAAAAACATGGGATACAAGTAGCTCTTGCATCATGATACAATGAATTCCAACATTGTGACTGATGTGAATATACAGCAGGAGGTCATGCAAAAATTCTTGTGAGTTAAAATGAGTACTTTTTCTCTTAACTTTCGTAATAGTGTTCTAATGGAGATGTCAAATGTCAGATGTCCGTCTCAAAGTATGCTCAGAGCAGAAGGAGATACCTAAAATTGGGAAAAATTGAAGTGCTGGGTGGACAAAAGGTACTTTTTGGTTTTGCTGTTTTAGAATCTTCATCGTTAATTTATGTTTTAAAGAGGATGCCGAGGAAAGCGCATAGCCCTTTTGTTTTTACTTGTTAAATAATAGAAATCTAAATCACAAAAGTGCTGTGAGGGGGGGAAGGGGGCGCAAAAAATCTGAAATGAACTGTTACAAATTTTATGAACGGCCCCTAAAACATCAGCCGAGTTTCTGAAACTTGGCAAATAAGAAGTGCCCTTCCTGTTCTCAATGCTTCAATCAACATCAGCATCTTAAAGTTTATTTATCTAAAAAGCAGAGATATTGAAGTTGCTGTCTCTTCTGTACTTCATTAAATTTCTTTCAAGCTTAACAGCATCTTCTTTGATTCATAAGTGTCAGTAATAAAGAATTTGCAGGTGTCTGAAATTTTGTGAATTTCATCTTAAAAATGATACTACTAGGAAAACTGAGTACGAGGATATCCTTGGTTTCTAAATCCGACAATTATTGGAGAAAATATGGCATAATAACCTAATCTGCTAAAATACATGTGTTTATATGTGAAATGCCGCCAGATGACGTCATTAGGAAGCACATTTTCTCACTTTTCTATTTTTCTCCTTTTTCCCATGTCAGAAAAAAATTATGAAAAATACCGCGAACTCAGCTTATTAGGCACTCTCAGATGAAGCAATAAAATTTTTGTGAGCAAATTTTCCATTGCTACTTGTTTTGCCTCATCCCATGCTCTTTTTAATTTTCTCCATTTTGTGTTAAAACCATTCCTCTTTTTTCAGAAAACGTGGTCGGAAATCACACAGACGAACCGAGAACCGAGATAAACTTGTAAAATCGCTAACCATCATTCAAACGATAAAAGACATTAGCAATCAAGAGTATATAGTTCCTAGCAATCCTTACAGGTGGTCTGTTGAGGACCTGTATGATTATATCTCAGAAACTCCTGATTGTCATATGCTTGCTCCTCTTTTGAAAAGTCAAGTAAGTAACACTCAATTTTTATTGTTCCTTCTCATGGTGGTTTGTACCACAAGGATATTACAAGTCGGAACTCTGTTTTTTACCAAATTCTCGCTACAATTAAAATTGTTTTCTGTTTAACAATTAATTGATATCAACATAATCTCAGGATCACAGGACATGCCCATTCAAAAGTGGTCACAATGGAATTTTTCAGCTCGTGAACAGCCCGACACTGAAGGGAAAGGGGGAAAAAAAGGATAAACTGACTGGAGGCAATAGTTTTTAATACTTGAAATATACGTGTAAGACATATGGTATCATATTATAGATACGCTGCATTACACTACAATGATACTACATCAACTCAGTTCGCTCTGGGGCGAAGCAGAGGAACCAAGTTAAGCGGGTTACCAGTTCAGACGGGTTTTGTCATTTTCCGATCCCATTTTCGAATTTCATGCCTCAATTTTGACAAGTAATTAACCATGTAGGTATCGCAAACACCTATAAAAATTTTAGAAGTGTTTTTTCATAAGGTATTTGATCAAATAAAGTTGTTATAAACTGTGCATTTTCATCTGAAGCCCAGAATTGGAGGGTCAGTGGATTAAGCCGCTCCAGTATATGCAAAAGTGCCCTCAAAGTGACAATTCTGTTAGTTTTGTCAGTTTTATGGACGTGTAAACGAAATTTATTGCCAAAAACCTGAGTTTAATGATTTTAGCCCCCCTCCCTCTCCATGAGACACTTATAAACTGGGCACCCAGGCCACATTTGTAACTTGATTGATAGGTGCAAGAGACTTCCTGAAAGTTCATGCTGGAACTCATGCCAGAGCTCTATGGTTGTTATGCCAATCCGCCTTACTATTAAAGGGTTTCTACAGGTCACATAAACATATAATATATTCTCATATTTTCATTTTAGTCCTATAATTATATGAAATTATCATATTTTTGCTTCATCATTTGATTTTTGGGTCGAAATAATTAATCATTTTTTTTTCTTTTCAAATTATAGCCTATTTTATAATCATCACATCAAATTATCGCTTTTAAAATAATCAAATCTACTATCGCTAATGACAATAGATTGCTCATATTGGTTTATTATTTTGAGTTTTTGAAATCATTACTTCCAAGCAGCACTGCTTTAATGATGAGATGTTTCCCAACAAGCTATGCGCTATGCTTTATTGATACTCATAGTTTTTTTATACTTTTTTTGCAAAAAATGGTCATATAAAGTCACTAAAAGTGCTAAAAGTTTTGTTCTTGGATCTCTGTAGAGACGCTGTACCCTAATTTACACGCATTCCTAAATCTGCTTGATTTTCATGCATCTGAGCTTACCGTTCTGTCATTTTTTAATGCAGGAATTTGATGGAATTTCATTCATGTTGCTGAATCTCCCTTCGTGTGTTGAGTCACTCAATCTGAACTACAAAATGGCAATTCGACTTTGTCGGCATGTAGAAGCTGTTAAGTATGCTTATTTAAGTAAGTACAAAAGTTCTACGTCCATAGAAACAGATGTTTGTTAATTAATTTTTCTTGACGAAATCCCTAGTAAAATAAATGTTGTTAATTTTCCCAAGTTCAAGGAATTATTTCATTGAAGTCTCCTATTTTCTTTTTCTCCTGCAAAAATTTATAATGAATTAATGAAACTGCTAACAGCAGCCCTCAGTCTCTACTTGTGCACTTGATGCTAGTAAGATCTTCATGAAATGCACTGCATTTTCCATTTAGGAAATCTATTTATTATGGGTAATTGACTGCGAAGGAACAATGCTGCTTTTCTGCAAACTAAAATTTCACAGGACGAAGCAAGAACTTCGCCATTTTCGTAGTAGTCAAGTTAAGTTTTCAATTTTTTAATACATTACAGCACCTCTGTGCAGAATTGGAAATAACTAAAAAATCAGCTTGGAATCATTTAATACTGCAGAATTCACCAAAGTTACTAACTGCTTTTCACCTAAACTGTCAATCAGGCAGGATTGTTCCTTAGCTAGTGTAATGAGGTTCTATTGTTTCCGTTTCTACTGCATCTAAGCTACTCATATGAACATCTTCGTCATTTTTATGAGAAATATCTGTAGGTAGAATAAATACATAGCTTTAAAAATTTCTGTAGAATGGATCCAAATATCTCGGAGTTACATTTGTTTCCTTCTTGCTATTTCTTGACTGTGAGAGGTAACAAGAGAAAGGTTCAAGCCTGATTGTGAGATTGACCAAGAACCTAAAATTGTGTCCCGGTAAGGATAAAATCTTTCTTTTTATTCCATGGATCCAATCTTTTCTCTAGGGCGTCAACACTCATGGCATCTCTTCCTTGTTGCAAGTTGAGCAGCTTGCTCAACAAGTTTATTAAAGAAATTGCTTAAAAAAATGTCAGACATTTTGGTCACATGATCAATCAGCTCATCAACATATCAGGATTACACTACTTCTTTACGGACTTCTTCTCTCATGAGGAAGCTATATGACCTTGGTATGTGACCAGATATGTGAGAAGGGACCTTAAGAGATTTCTTCAAATTTTGCAAATGCATGGAGGAAAAAAATTCGGAAATTTTGGCGCAAGGTTGACCCCAAAAGCTCAAAAGTTGGAGCAATGAGTCCTTGACTTCTGAGACAAAAATTCTTAAATCGCACAGAAACATGCTTTAAATTTAAGAGAAAAGATGAGGAAAATTTTCTCCTGGAAGATAAGGTTTCTAATTACAGATCCGGTCACATATACTTTTGAGATTCATTCTGTCAGAAGGTAGAGGTGTCATCCTTGTCAGGTAAGTTCGCAGTTGTTTACTCTTGAATGTCGCTGCGCGGTAGAACGATTTACGTCTCTGAGCACAGCGCCTGCGTTGCGCTTAGTTGTGCCACAGTCAACCCTTGACTGATATTAGACAACTGCAACACAGTCGTATGCGAAAACGACTGCCAACTTGGCTGATGACACCTCTAGGTGGACTCCTGAGCTTCTACCTGTTGCCAGGAGGCTGCTTGTGGGTGGAGGGGAATTTAATGTGTCTGTTAGTCTTAATATCTTTTTCACTAGGCCCAGTTCAAAATAATGTGTTTCAGAAGTCTGTATGAAATAAAGTCTTAACTGAAAAAGCCAGGGGGGTAATTGACCATTCATATTTTTGGTTCACCTTGAATACCGAGACTCAACTGCAATGTTGAAGTACGGTTAAACATAATGAGCGAGGAGATGAGTCAGTAAATGAGTGTAATCATTTCTTTTAAGCCTTGATAAAATTAAATCGGAAATTTAATGAGGCAGTGAAATAGCAGAAGATAACGGATGAAACTTACTGAGAGAGGACCCAGTCTTTGAAAATATATGAAAACACAGAAACAAGGGCTTGTGAGACGGAACTAAAAATAGCACATTTATTATCGATTTATGAAATTGATTTACGCTTTAATTAATTTTAATCACAAAGAAAGAAGATTTTTAATGCCAAGATGGTTGAAAGTGTACAAAAACTTCGGCGTGGCCATCTATTTTCAGAATTTCTGACTACTTAAGACTAGTTCTTTTTTGTAAATCATGACTTAAAACTTCTTCACCACTGAGATAAGAAGGGAATGATATAAATTATAATGGGCGAAAGTTACTCTGCAAAATAAAGCTTTCTGTTACTATCTATTTTTCAACTATCATGTGTGGGGAGGGTATGTATGTGTTGAGATATCCTTTAATGCTGTATAAAAAGAGGATCCTGAGAAAATTAAAAATTTGTACAAATTCCTTGACGCTTAGACGAAATAAAATTTAAGAATACAATAGTTTTGCTGGATTGTGATCCATGAGAGACTCCTTTATCGATTTTACAAGATTAATGGAAAAATTGGTAACCAAAGATCACACTATAGTATCGATCCTGGCATGAAGCAAGTACACGATTAGGCAGATATTGTGGACAAATACCCTGCAAAAACAAGCCCTCTTCTCTCTGATGTCTAGGAAATATGGACAAAATGGATTTCTGCAAGGAAGTAATCGACTAAAAAAAAAAAAAAAAATAGTAAAGCTAATAATCGAGACAATTTGTTTTTCTTCCTTTTCTTTCATGCAGGCTGCAATATTCTAATACCTAAGAAAAGAGGGACTGGTTTATTTGTCTCTTCAAAACCTGCAAATCCAATTTCAAATGCATAGGTAAATCTGCTCTGTATCCGTCTCTTTGACAGAAGACAAAGTGCAACATTGCAGATGAGGAACAATTTACACTTGAAATGAACATTTCTGTTTTAAATTTTCCAAAAGTAAAACATATTCATAAATGAAAAAGCAAGTATTCCCCCAAGAAAATTAAAAGAAATAATACCGAGTTATATTCTAAAAAAAAGTGTTTCTCTTTAAAATGATAAATTGTGACAGAAACTTAAAGTTCTGCTTCCAAAACACAAAAAAATTAAACATAGATATTAAGTCAACAATTATATAAAAAAAAAACTTACACACTAGTGTCAATCGTGTGTTGTGGACACTTAATTTATAATTGGAAAGAAAAAAAAAACCAAGAAAAAATAAATAAATAAAGATAAAATAAAGTAAAAGGAGAAGTTAGAAAAAAATTATAAAATTAAGAGAGGATTTTGGAAAACGGTAAATAAAATCACACGGTAATTTTATCACACCCTTAAATCGACATCAGAGAACACGGATCACCGCAATCCGATAGAGTATCACGAAACTTCCTTAAGGTCATCAGGCAGGTCATTCTTTGGGTGTTTGTTTTCAAAATGCTGTTTGTATGTCTTAGGATCTGGCATTTGAGCCTGAAATAAAAAAGAAAAAATGATGGTACATTAAAGAAAGATGTCTTTAGCAGTTACAAAATAGATTTTTATTTCAATTTTTTTTTTACAGCTCTGTTACATGACATGAAGAAATAACATGGGTTGTTATATATATAATGACAAGTTTCGAGGGTAGTGGGGTTCCTTTTTTTATTATTAATATCCACGTTTATCCTAAGAACTTAATATCAACCTAACCCTGATGTGTCATGAGAGCATCTCTGAATAAATAATTTCACAACAAATGTCACCTGAAGGAAATAAGCAACATTTTGACAAATTTATTCGAAACCACCTCTGAAAATTTAAGTTCAAATTAACATTATTTAGGAAATAACGAGCTACTAGTTTGATTCCCTTCAAAAATAATGTGACGAGATGTGACTACGGAGAGGAAAAGACTCACAGTCGTAATGTTACACACTATAATGATTGTATTTGGTAAATTATTACTATCCAACAGCCTAGGGCAACCCTTTGTGTACTCAACAGGTAAGTATTTCACATATTTTTTCTTCTGTCATATCCAAGCCAAAAAAACGATCCAAAAAGCGATTTTAAACGCTAAAGCAGGCATCTCAGTACGAAAAATCCATGATAATAGCATGGAGATGTCTCCTGTTGTTATTCATTTTTCGCTTCAAGACAATATTGCTCCATCAACTTGTGACCATGTGAGCTCAACTTCCACTCATTTTAAACCAATTGACTTATGAACAATTTGACTCTGCTATGCTTAGCATTAGTATTTAATTTTGCTGTAAATACTGGTCACACCATTAATAAATAACGCATTAGCAAGTAGAAGTTTGGCGCTGCCAGCTGTAAAACACTGAAAGTAAGTCATGAATTGTTTTCAAGCGGCAAATGGCTTCGCACCAATGGTTCAGCGCTGCTGTAAGTATTGCCTTGCGCGCTTTCAATTTAAGTCAATGGATTGAGAGAGTAAGATTATTCTAAGACATATGTAACCAAGATCTGTTAGCTAGTTACATTAGCACTGAAATTACAGTACTAGTCTCAAGGATTCAGAACAATCTATGTGAATGAGTAGGTCAAGTCTTTTTTTTTATTGTGTCATTCGAAAGTAGTAAGTGACCGAAGCTTACAGTTTTTTTCCTAAATTTTTTTGATGACTGCAAACTGGAGAAAAGTTAATTCGAAAGTGCCAAAAATTAGGGTGGCCTAAAACAGCATTTGAACTGCGCGCTCGTAGGTTTCGCATGTACACGTCACGATCATTATGGCGGCGGAATGCGTAGTGGAAGAATACATGGCGGCGTTGCCTTGGCGGTATGTTTTTGGTGGTCAATTGGAGGTTATGTAGGTTACTTTGTTTGAGATTCATATCCATTGTTCTTAATTTTCTAGGCTTTTCAATCAGAATGCGATACAGATGTATGTAGGATATGAAACATTCACACAGAACTTACTTAACCTCAAACCAGAAATCGTGATGTCAACATCAGCAGCGTGGCGGTAGTAAGCAGGTCGGCTTCGGCGCCGCCATCTTCCCGTCTATGACGCGTAGATACGAAGATTCACAGCGATCGGTTCAAACACTTTTTCGAGGACCCCTAAAAGGAAGCGTTACATCTCCACAGAGACAATTTTTCGTGAAATTTTAAGATGCGCATCGTTCTTCTCGTACCGAAAACTGTAAGATTTGACTATTTGTAGGCAAATCCCTCCCGAGCTTAACTGACTCATTAGCAACCTGAGAAAACAGGAAAACCTAAAGTTAACAATGAATTTCAGTGCATACCTTACATACTGCACAGACATGAACTAAGGCTTTTTGTGCGGCTTTTTTCTGCTCATTGGCACTGTGTCCTTGCTGCTTTTTGGCTTTGGCAGCTTTTTCCTGAGCTTTGGCTTGAGACTGAAGCTTCTGATGACCGCGGGCCATGATTAAGCTGCAAAATTAAGAAAAGACATTAATGCCATGAGTGAAAATTTTACCTAAAGCACAAGGATGCAATTGAAAGACAAATAGAAAGTATTGTCCAATACTTTACGTCTACTCCTGTTGGGTTCCACATACCTATCAAGAAAAATTCTGGGATAAAAACAAAATTATAAAATAAAAATAAATAAAAAAGAGAGAGAAAAGAACAATGCAAACTTTTCAGATTCCTATTTTTCAAGATTTTCTGATTTATCGAAAAATTCAGATGCCAGACCTGGATTCTACTGGACCTAGAAATTCAGAATTGGATTCTACAGAAAAAGTACACAAGAGTTGATACTTACCTCAAAAGCCTAGATACGTCAAATTCATATTTTTTTGGTTTAGATAATCTTGAGATGTTTTTGGGCCGCTATCTTGTTTTTAATGCTCAAATTTCAGCTCAGGAAATGATTAGCTTAAAGATCGGACTTTGCAGCAAAAACTACATGACAATTCATACCTCAGAAGTTTATATCGGTAAAATTCGAATTTTATATTCATGAAAAGTTGATTTTGACAGTTTGGTGCTGACATGTTGTTATAAAGGCACAAATTTCAATCGTAGAGAATTTGTGGACGCAGAACTGGATCTTACCACAAATTACCTAAGAGTTGATACCCCACAGTCCTATATCCGTAAAATTTAAATTTCTCATTCTTGAGATGATTATAAAGAGGTTTTTTGGACAGCCATCTTGTTTCTGAGGCCCAAATTCCAGTCCTGGAGAATGTTGGGCTTCAGAATAAGATTCTATGGTAAAAATTACTCCAGAATCGATATGTCAATGGGCCAAAACTTCTTTTTCATCCTTGTAACGATTTTTGTCCGCATCGTCCATAAGGAGGCCGCACTGTGCGCCAGCAGGACGAGTCCGAATGCTAACATGGCTCTTGCCGCAGAAGTGACGGAAGCCATGCATGTGAATCTGGCAGCCAAGAATGAAAGTAATACTCACTAAAATGGCAGTGAGTATAAATAAGGGTTTACACTACGCTGACTCAGTGATAAAATATGGGCCTAGGACTTAAGTGGGTTAACAACAGAGAGGGTTCATTCTGTAATAGAACAAGGCTTGTACCTGTGAGGTCAGACGAAAAGACAGGGGAATAGAGGTAGAACTTCCGAAACTCAGGAAACAATGAGATGGTAGATGCAGATGGTTGATAAAGATTAGATACTTGAAAATTAATTTTCCGACACAAACTAATACGGAATCATCGGCAAAAGCGATTCAGCGAAATGGAAAGTAAGAAGTAACTCCGCAACTCGCGGGAAATTTTTCCTAATGGCTAGTAGATGAGTCCATATGGGTCATACTTTTTCGTCCATGCTAGTATTCAAAACAGTATAATATAAACATAACCTACAAACCATTCCGACGTGCGAAGTCTTATCAGGAAAACCCAAAGACATAAAGACGGAGTGCTCGTATCTAAAAGCACGGGGAAAAAGTGAAGCTAGGTTCGGCGCTGCGCGTTTGTGTGAGTGTGTAAATGAGCGCGGGAATCCATGGCGGCAAACGGAAATTTGATTTGAACTTGTCCTCTTGATTTTTCCTTATTTCTTCTTCGAAACGTGTTTTAAATGCTTAAAACGATTATATTAAGAAAGTTCGGTCTGCGTCCTAATATATTACACCTACTTTTGCTCGGTAACAGGCAGTAATCTCAGATAAAGTTAGTTTTTCTTCTGCTTATGGTGGTTCTGCAGGTTCAAACAGGCCGTTACAGTTCTAGATCTACGTTACTCCCAAATGAAATCAGTCGGTCGACGACGGACCGAAACTAACCTAAAGTTAATAAAATATGAGTGTATACCTGAATTTGGGCAAAAATCAACCTAAAATACTTTGTTTCCGCAATTTTATTTATTAGTTCCCGCCCTACATTTGAATTCAAACTTGTCCCGATTTCGCCGCCAATCCTCTAGCCAATAGTAGAGGTGATTGAAAAGAAGCTCTAGAAGCTTCATTTTTTGCTTTTAGTGCTCCGTCTTTATGTCTTTGGGAAAACCGGTCCCTTATCCCTTATCTCATCTTTGTTTGTCGACTTTCAGTATGCTGAAACTATCTATCAAATGCGTGAATCACGCTATTTCACGAAGGCAAATTTCACAAAGCCACTATTTTACGTGCTACGGTAATCTTAAAAATCTTAATGGCGTATCTTATGTGAGTGTGTTTACTTTATCATTTCTTTGAAGACAATGATAATGAGAGTCTTGTCATAAGTTCTACTGAAGTCATACGTTGCTTTTAAAATTAAGTGGCGAGCCTTGCCTCTCGGAAAATTTCACTGCTTCCTCAAATATCAATCAATTTCTTGAAACTTTTAGATGTGAAGGCAAGCCACAGCTAATAGTTCAGCTGCAACCAGCGAGCAATCGGACTGCGCCGTCAACAACATTCACAGGCTAGATAAACAGTTAACATTGGCCCACTATCAACTGTGCTGTCTCTTTGCATGCTCATTGCTAATACTGTCAGACTGTTCAGTCGGGACTGCTCGAGTTACAGCTGCCTAAGGGTCAGCAACAGAGGAACTTAACTGCAGAGTTTCCTGTGAGAATTAGTATTTTTACTTTAGACTAGGGAGCAGGAAGACATGTACCATTGTCTCATAAGATCTGAAATTTGTTTATTGGCAAAGCAGTAATAATCAATTGTATCTTGTTCCAGGCTCATTCATCTCATTACTCAACCGAATCGGGTTGCTTTCCAAAGTCACCAGACTTGGTCAGAATTTATGAAGGTCCCCTGGCAACCAGGCTGAAGAGGACCAAATTATTCTCGTTTACCACAAGTGCCGTTGGCATAACAGGGTTTCCTGTGGTAGCTGAACAAATTCAAAAATTTCCAGAGAAAACTGGGTGGTATTTGGCAGTTCTTTCGGTCATGTCTTTTTTTTCTTTCGGAACTCCAGTTCTTCTACAATTGTTGGCGAGTAAATATATTTTATATATAGATTACAACCAATCAAAAGATCTCTACACTCTCTACACCTACACGTTATTCTTTGGCTTGAAGCCGGTAAGTGATGTCTAATTATGAGCTTATATCTTTTCATAATACTTTTACTCCTCTTGATGGCGGTCACGCGCCAAAAATGGACAACTTTTTTTGCTAACGTACTGTAGTCAAACTGGATTAAGTCAACCACAATTCAAGTAAAGACAGTAGGTTGGAATTTTTAGCCAACGTGCGTTACAAATCAGCATAAATCTGAAAATCTCAATACAGAGGGAAAAAGCTCATTCGAGCGCAATTTTCCCTCCAAGAGATATGCTGTTTGGTGCAACTCTAGTTACAACCATTCAGGAAGGCAATTGCAGAACTCTCTGAGCTTGGTAGCAGAAAATTCACGAGGCTGTGCTGTACTGAGGATGGATCCAATTAGACCTGAAACGAGTCTGCAGTTGCCTTCCTGAATGGTTGTAACTAGTGTTGCACCAAATAGCGTATCTCCTGGAGGGAAACTTGTGCTCAAATGAGCTTTTTCCCTCTGTATTGAGAATCTCTGCTTTATGCTGATTTGTAATGCACGTTGGCTAAAAATTTCAACTTACTGTCTTTGCGACCTGTGCGTCCACTGCAATCAGTTTGTGACAACTCAAGTAGGCCAAGAGCTGCATGCATAGTTGCTCATTTAACAGATCCCTTCCTTAAAATGTCCATTTTGTGCAAAACTGTGATTAAAAATGGTTTTAGGAGGCCCCTCAGTTTACCATTTTTCAGATGTGAAAAGTTTCAAATGAAGAACTATTTGAACAAAATTTAAGTAAAATTCAGCTGTATCACCTTGTGAATATCCTCGCAAAATAAACAACACACGCAAAATAAACTCCATAATGATCGCCTCAGACCAACATAAAGAAAATTCTATGATTTTGACAAACTTAAAGGTATCCTAAATAATGCTGAAACTGTCATATTTTTTAATATTTCTGGTGGCAAATTATTGGAATCTTCTGCAAGAATGCAATTATAAGATGTAATAGAACTGCAGCATAAGTTACGAAAAAAAGTTATCCATAAGCAAAAGTTCTTTAAATTTTTCCTACCTCTAATTCATTTTTAAAGTCCTCCCACAACTTTCCTAACCATAACTTTTAACTAAATTGGCCTTTTAAAAGATAGATTTTACCTATGACCCCTAATTCCTATAAATATGATGAACCACTTACAGACCGCTATTGATGGGTGCAGTTGAATAATTATTTATTGTTTTTTATTTTTACACCAAAATTGTCTGGCATTGTACAAGTCGGACAACTTTATTGCTGTTACATTCATAGTTATAGTTTTAAAGTTATTATGAATTGCATTTATAAGGAGTGAACATTTATGGATAAAAGTTTCAAATACAGCTGTAACTATTTGAAACTATTAAAAAAAATAATTTACCATTAAACATTATGTAGTTAAATGATGCAAAAGCAAGAGATAGTTGTAACCCTAAGTATTCATTATTCAGTACCCAACCTGTCATATAATGGGACATTTTCAGTTTGAGAGGCTTAATTGATGACAAGATTTAATTTTTTCCGTTTTTATCTCTACCTACCCAGGGAAATTTATCAAAGAATAAACCCTCAGTAGGTATCTTAAAACCTATATTCGTGCCTACGAAGCTGTGTAAAAATAATTTCTGGAGGGAGTCAAATTCTTCCAAATTTTTTCGTTAAATTGCCAGCACCTAATTGCAAATAGACAGTGAAACTCCCAAACAATGTATCTCGATTTGAGACGTTGCAGACCTTCTGTCATATTTTGTTTTTTGAAGGAGAATTTCTCAACGACAAGTCGCAAAAAGTTTTGTGATTTTTCTTCTCGGTGGGGATCAAATTCTGAAAAAATTTCTAGGAATGATGTTGACTTGTTCTCTTTCTAAAAACTGAAGAAGGAGTGGAAATTTTTAAACATAACTAACAAGATACGTGGTTTAGGAGTCTTACCTTCAAAATTTACTTGTTTATGCAAATCCTCATATAAGTGTTTTGATCTGTAAAATTATACCTCATATTCTAGACATTTTTTTTTTTTTTTAGGGACTGGGAGCTTTCAAGAAATTTTTGTCTCTGAGATTGCTTGCTCCTATCCGAAAATTTAAGTTTGCTTTATTAGAAACTTGAATAATGCTCCTTAAAAACTTTGTGTCTCCCTCAAATATAATGTTCTCTCTCACAGGTGCGATAACTGTTAGTATCCATGATCAAATATATCAGACTATTGTCCTGAGAAATACTGCGCCATATAATGAAATATAATAAGTGAGTCTTTGCTCTTTCCCAAATTCATCTTTTTATGCTTTTTTCTCTAAAATTTCCGTGTTCTACAGGGATGTTTCGTTTTTCTCTCAAAATTTAATTACTGCATAAACAATTTGTTCTTTTCCAGGCTAGTTTCAATGCTACAGACGTTTCCACTGTCTCAACGCCTCTCGCGTCAGTTTCAATTCGAGGCAAAGGTTACCTCCTTGAAGCTTCAAATTTCACAGACCTTAACCACTACAAACGGATGGTTGGCTATGACAAGGAGTTTGACTTTAGCGATAACAATGAAATAGAATCAACCAGTTGTGAACCGAATTTAAAACGGCCGAAAATACCCATGCCAACTCATCAAACGCCAAAAGCTTCAGAGAGCATAAAACCCTCTGATGAGGACAAGGATCTACCATTAAATCTAAGGAAGAGAAATCGATAGATTATGTAAGTGAAAAGTGTGATCTATTAGATTTATGTTACGTATTTAAGTGGCTGTGCCGAGGAATGTTCCTCTTAATCAGCCTCTTTCTCAAGATGAATGAAAATTTTTCTTTAAAAAAAGAAAACAATTAAACGTAATGTCAAGTTTTCAATGTGCAGTATCCTTGATACCTCTCTTGAATTCCCTGTTTTTTGTTGCCCTGACAAAAATGTCAGACATAATGCTACCAAGACTCATCTCATAGGCAACATTTTCAATCTCTATCAAGAAGGGAACCGAAAACATATTTATTCACTGTAGTTAGATTTGTGTTTGACGTATGGTATGTAGTCTATTTTTAATTAGAACTGCATACTTAAAATTTAATCTCAAAAGACATCAGATATTCTGAAAGTGGAGATTAAAGAAAATGTGCTCTCTACAGGATTACAGATTTTGACTTTATCACAAATGGACACATTGAGTCAATTTACAAATATTGATTTTACTCACAATTGAACCAATGATTTAAAATATTTCCAAAAATGATTTGCAATCCTTTTTGCCAAGCTTGTGTAAGAAAAAGAGATAAATTCCTATTTAGGAATGAATCACTGGTATTTTTTAGTAAGTAACTACTTCATTGATTTATTTTGTTTTTGTTTATTAATTATACAAAAAATTTAACAATTGATCTACAGTGCCTTTTCAGTAAAACAAATTCACAGTATTGCCCTCTTATTGTGGCAAATAGTAAAGTAAAGGTGCTGTCCTCAAAGTTTTGTCGAAGGGAAGTTAGAAATGATCAATTCACTTTGGTACATACTTCCTGAACATGTTTGCAACTTTTTTAAGGCAAAGAAAATGAAGAACTGCTTTTGTGGCGCCATTGTATTAAGCATCTCCTTTAATTTTTTGCAAACTATATCACTTTTAATATTAATCTTTACTAACTTATAAATGCAGTAGAAATTCTTTTCAAAAACTAGCATAACTCAGCAGTACAAGTTTTTATCATTGCAATGTATTCTCTCTCAATGTGCACTATCTGAATAGGAAGCAAGTTCATCGTATCACTGAAGTAAGTCTGAGTCTCTTCTGAAGCATACAATCGCCAAGAAGCTGCATCAGCTGAATTTCAAAGTATATCCGAAAGAGGGATGAATAATTCAGTGTCAATGAGGCGTTGATGTTCAAAATTGAGTACCTTTATAGGCAAGTTGAAAGGGGATAGAAAACTACCTAAAGGTCAAGCTCAGATAATTTTTCAACAGAATTTCTCAACATGCCCTAAAAATCTAAAATCTGACTAGAAAATAAATGTGTCAAATAAAGAAATACTTCATGTAGATAGACTGAATATCAAGCAATCGATTAGCCAAGTATCAAATTTCTCAAAATTTCAAGATCAAGGTAACTTAAAATTATTTACAAACTACAGTAGCAGGTAGTGTCTGTGAGTAAAGAGTGTTATATCCGAAAATCAAATGAAGTCTGGATTTTATTGACCTAGTAATCCCAATTGCTGCAACAGAGAAAACAAACCAAGAAAAAAATTAGAAACCTGCCACCACGAATATTGCTGTAAATTGAGGTTTTCAATGAAAATGGGTCACTAAAACTCTGAACTGCTAAACTTTGATAACTAGGTTAAAGACTAGGTAACTAGGTAACTCAAAACTAGGTATACTTAGATAAATGACATTTGTAAAACCAATAATTGAGACTAGAACAAGGCAATCCAGATTTGCAGAAGATTTCAGAAGGAGGGGGGCATCAAACGCATCCATTTAATTACCTACTCTGAGGTATAATTCAAGAGGCAGTGCCAGAAAATGTCTTGGTGAATCTAGAAATTACTTTTGCGGAAAAAGTTTGAATATAAATAGTCCTTACATTTTTATAGGCTGCTCGATGAGCCTCTTTGAAAATCCTGATCTCAGCTTCCATTTCGTTGAACTTGTTGACCCAGTCATCCCAGTCACTACAACAGAGAAAAAAACCATGAAGAAAATCAGTAAGCTACCACCACTAAAATTGCTGTTTTAGATTATCAATAATAATGGGTCGCTACAACTCTGAACCCTTGAGGTAAATTTTGATAAATAATATTGTTAAAACCACTTCTTGCTCCCAAAGTTGTCTTTTTTATTGCAATTACTTTTAGCCTGATGATTATTTCCTTATTAATATTAACTTATTACCTATCGTAACGAGGTGGAAAAATGGTGCTGGGTCTACATCATTTCGCGGGGAAATCCAAGCCGAGAAATTAAAAAAATTAAATCAGAGTCAAAATATTTTAACTCTAATGAAAACCAGTACAAAACTGAGAGGGAGTTCAGCTCAGGCAGTTTGCATTGGAATGTTAAGTTGAGGTCACGCCGAGAGATCTATAACGTTTCGGGTCTTTTTAGACCTCATCAGTAGACCTCCTCTCATGGTGTGGACCTAGCACCATTGGATGTTATATGGAAATAATACCTATTGTAAAATTATTAAAACTTGTATGCAATATTAATTTAATTTCTTAACATTTCACTTAATCTCGTATTTATTGAAAAAAGTGTGATTTTATCAGAAAGAAAATCAAAATCTTTCAGGCTCTCAAAATCTGGGAAATTTACTTTGAAAACATAGGGTAAGGTTTGCCTTACAAAAGCATCGAAAACTTTCTGGCCCAAATTTTCGTTCTACTCTCTGAAAAGTTTGGCCGGAAAGAAGAAAAATAAATTTCAAGCTTTCCAAATATTTTTAAAAAAAACTGAAAAAGATAATTTGTCATAATCTATAAACAGAAAATGAATTAAAGATTTTGCTACTTCATTACAATTCTTGACCAGTCAGATAGCCAATTAAAAATTCCTGTAGGTAAGCTTGCAATTTTTTTGAGAAAAATTGCAACATTATAATACAATTATATTGCGACACACTAAAATTGCACTTTTCTTTGCAATACTATTGCAATACATCCATGCTACGTGGGATTCTATTATTAGAGAGAATGTAGGACAAGAGTGCTAAATAACAAAACTGTCCACTAATTTGTTGTCTTTTTGCACTTATTCCTTTTGTAAAGTATATCCCCATCCTTAATCTGTAAATATTATGAAAGAATTGAACTTTGACTCTGTTATAAAGTATCATTTACAAATTTTGATATCTCTGGAAAAAAGTCAATTGTTTTCTTCTCTGATACTGATCATTTTTATCGTAACCTATAACAAGGAGGTATCCACTTTAATTTCCAGTAGGTCAAATAGTATAACCAACAAAATGAAGGAGCTTTGCGTGAATCCGTCAGTTAGTAGCTGGCACGTCGTTGCGCCGATAAGAATTAATCGATGGTGAAACTGCAGAATGGAGATGTTGCATGTGTGAGGAATTTGTGATTTGACTGCTGATTCTTATGTACAAGTTCGCGAGAAAACACGGTGGTGCTACTGGTTTTCTCTGAAATCAAGTCCCAAGCTCAAAAAAAGATTTCCAGTTGAGGCCAAAATGGAGGGGATATCCCACGCTATCCTGAGAGTCCACCTCTACATCAAGACCATCACTCCATGCAAAGATAGGGAGCAAATACATTGACAGGGCTGCCACTTTATTTGGGGACTCAAAAATTGAAAACACGGCAACACTGCTAATGTATTTGCTCCCTATCTTTGCATGGAGTTTGTCTTGATGTAGAGGTGGACTCTCAGGATAGCATAGGATATCCCCTCCATTTTGGCCTCAACTTGAGAGCTTATTGTGAGCTTGGGAGTTGATTTCAGAGATAACCAGTGGCACCATTGTGTTTCTCGCAAACTTTTACATATGATTCGAGAGTCAAATCGGAAATTCCTCACACATGCAACATCTCCATTGCGTAGGTATCTCGGTTTGCAGCGTTGCAAGACAAACTCTCCATGCCAAGATAGGGAGCAAATACATTAGCAGGGTTGCCGTGTTTTCAGTTTTGGGGTCCCCAAATAAAGTGGCAGCTCTGTCAATGTATTTGCTCCCCATCTTTGCATGGAGAGTTTGTCTTGATGTAGACGTGGACTCTCAGGGTAGCGTGAGAATGCGTGGGATATCCCCTCCATTTTGGCCTTAACTTGCATGGGCGTAACTAGGGTGTCCTGGGG